CATGGGCCTCGGCAGGAAACAAGTGCATGACCGGGTGGACTCTGGCTGTGGGCAAACCCTAGTGCATCAGTGACTTGCCTTGGCAAGTGAACTTGCACTGAACCAGATTCAACTCCTTTGTATCCACGGGGACTTGAAGTCATATCTAAGTGCCCTGGTACCGCTAACTGTGGACGGAGTGACCTGGGTAATGACGGCTGGGTTTGCCCCGGAGCTGCCTACCCCATCATTCTCAGATGAGACTGGCCAGAATTCACTCAGGTTCTGCAAACTGCGAGCCTCTGGGACTCACTGGTGCAGATGGCTCTCGAGGGAGACCCCCTTGAGGGCAAGGTTGAGGGGCCCAGGAAGACTAACCCAGGTGACCCCTCAGCCCCACTGGGGCTTTTGACACCCCAGAAGGATAAAGCTACCCCGGTTGGACGGCGGGGAAGCCCTACTGGACACGGGAGTCAACTTCAGTAGGGACCAAAGAGAGGACCCCACCCTCAGCTGGGCCTATGAACATATAGCGTATATCAACAGGATGGCGACGGATCTGCAGTGAGCGGCCCAGTGGCCATGGTTTAAGTTGACAGAGGAGCACCTGTACCGGGTCGACTGAGATCCTCAGACCCATGAGCCTCATTCCCAGCTGGTCGTGTCCTAGTGTCACTGGTGGGCAGTACTGAGATTAGCCCATGACATCACTGTGGCTGGCCATTTGGGACAGGAGAAGACCCTGGCCTGGGTCTTGGCCCGGTTCTTTTGGCAGAGCATACACTGGGACGTCAAGGATTACTGTGTTTCCTGCCCAAAGTGCCAACTGGCAGTGCCTCTGTGGGTACAAAATGCCCCACTGATCCCCTTGCCAGTGGTAGGGATGCCCTTTGAGAGGGTTGTGATGGACCAGGTGGGGCCACTCACCAAAAGCGTCACCTCTTCCGCTACATTCTAGTAGTGATGTACTATGCTATCTGCTTTCCAGAGGCCATCTCCCTAAGGAAAGCCACCGAATGGATCATCACAGCTGAACTCCTGAATATCTTCACCTGGGTGGGTTTACTCTGGGAGACAGTTACGGACCAGGGGACAAACTTCACCTTCCAGCTGCTCTGCAAAGTCTGTGGTCTCCTAGGGATCCAGAAGCTGCAGACATCAATCTACCACACCCAGATGGATGGATTGGTTCAACTGGGCCCTTAAAGAAATGCTCTGGAAGTTCCCACCTAAGGACTTGTGCCACTGGGATCAACTGATCCCCCCCTTACTGCTTGCCATTAGGGAGGAGCCACAAGCCTCCGCCAAATTCTCGTCATTTGAGCTACTGTATGGTCACCAGCTTTGGGGTTTGCTTGACTTAATGCGGGAGACCTGGGAACAAACCCTGTCCCGGACCCAGGGGCTCTTACGGTATGTCCTGCAACTGCAAGGTAACTGTGGTGGCGGAGCGCGAAGAACCCCTGCTCAGGGATACCCACACGAAAGAGGAGCAGAAGCAGACCAAGCTGCTGCTGGAGGCCTTTTCCAAAACCTTCACAGCCTTAACTGGACAGCACACCATCCAGAGCAACCCAGGGGAAATTGCTCGTGAGGTGACAAGACCTCTCCCGCGTCGAATGCGGGATGTGATAGAGCAGGAGGTCTAGGCAATGGCAGATCTAGTGGTAATTGAGAAGTCACAGAGCAAGTGGTGCAGCCCCATAGTGCTGGTCCCCAAGCCAGATGGGACCTTCTGGGTCTGCATTGATTTCTGGAGGGTCAACACTATCTCTAAATTCAATGCATATCCAATGCCCTGGATTGACAAGCTACTTGACAGACTCGGAGAGGCCTGCTACATCAACACCTTGAATCTGACCAAGGGCTACTGGTAGATCCCACTGGAACCTGGATTGAAGAAAAAGACAGCCTTTGCTACACTCTGCAGGCTCTACCAGTTTACCAGGATGACCTTTGGCCTTCATGGAGCCCCTACGACCTTCCAGTGTCTGATGGACCATCTGCTGCAGCCCCATGTTGAGTACGCCGTGGCCTATTTGAACAATATAGTGATCTACAGTCACCACTGGGTGGACCATCCAGACCAGGTGGCAGCCGTCCTGAGGACCCTCCAGGAGGCAGGGTTGACTGCAAACTGTAAGAAGAGCCAGATTGGTTAGCAAGAGACCACCTGTGGCTGTACTGTGCTGTCAGTATGGCAGTGAATTTCTCTTGGATACCGATCCCCTATTTGAAGTTCACAAATTTGGAATATGTGGTTCAGCAATATTCTCAATTTCTTTTTAACAAAACAAAAACATTAAAAAAATTTCTGGGAGTGGATAACAGGCTTAAACAGCACCACGATATGTCTTGCTGTTTTTCCCTGATGGCTTCTCTTCCCACTCTTCAAGGAAAACACCAAGAAAACAAAACAGGGAAAGATTAGTGTTAGTATTTATTTATTAATGATGCTGTAACACCTTCATGATTAATCAGAGATCGGGGTGTGTCAAGGTTCCTTCCCCACTCTGAACTCTAGGGTACAGCTGTGGGGACCTGCATGAAAACCTCCTAAGCTTACTTTTACCAGCTTAGGTTAAAACTTCCCCAAGGTACAAACTATTTTACCCTTTGCCCTTGGACTTCCGCTGCCATCACCAAACATTTATCTGGGTTTATTTTTATTAGGAAAGCGTTGTTTGGAAACGTCTTTCCCCCCCAAAATCCTCCCAACCTTTGCACCCCACTTCCTGGGGAAGGTTTGGTAAAAATCCTCACCAATTTGCATAGGTGACCACAGACCCAAACCCTTGGATCTTAAGAACAATGAAAAAGCATTCAGTTTCTGAAAAGAAGGATTTTAATAGAAGTAAAAAAGAATCACCTCTGTAAAATCAGGATGGTAAATACCTTACAGGGTAATTAGATTCAAAACATAGAGAATCCCTTTAGGCAAAACCTTAAGTTACAAAAAGACACACAGACAGGAATATCTATTTTATTCAGCACAGCTTAATTTCTCAGCCATTTAAAGAAATCATAATCTAACGCATATCTAGCTAGATTACTTACTAAGTTCTAAGACTCCATTCCTGTTCTGTCCTCTGCAAAAGCATCACACAGACATACACAGACCCTTTGTTTTTATCCCTCCTCCCAGCTTTTGAATGTATCTTATCTCCTCGTTGGTCATTTTGGTCAGGTGCCAGCGAGGTTATCCTAGCTTCTTAACCCTTTACAGGTGAAAGGATTTTTCCTCTGGCCAGGAGGGATTTTAAAGGTGTTTACCCTTCCCTTTATATTTATGACAGGGTGCCATTGTGCTACTCTCTATATGCACACAAAATGCAAAGTTACTCTTTGCCTCAAAGAGTTTACAATATAAGGCCCCAGTTCAGGAAAATCCTTGAGCAAGTGTTTAATTTTAAGCATGTGTTTAAATTCCATTGAAATCAGTTTCTGTGGGACTTAAACCCATGTTTAAAGTTAAGCACCATTCCTGAAGAGGGATGCTTTCCTACTTGGAGACCTCAATAGATTCCTATCCATTTCATGAGTATGAAGACTGTATTAGAATGGATACAATGGTTTGTTTGGAAAATCATACATTCAAATTCATGGAGGTTGTACCAAAGTTACGGAGAGGAGAATTTGGCCTATCTACTGATCTTTCCCTCTAGCCCTGCCAGTCAAGGATGATTATGCAAAGGAATGCTGTGTGTGAGTCAAATACATGAGTGGGAACCTGAAATTCAGGCTTAGCTGGGATTTGGATATGACCTGTACTTTCTGCTACTGTACAACTCTTTTCTCAAAGTATTTTAAGTCCAACAGGTTCTTCTGATGTGAGATAAACATCAGTACATATGTACAATATCATGCATTACATCCTTGGCTGGTTTGAATTGATTTATGCCAGTTTACATTAGCTGAGGCTCTGGCCCCATGAGCATAAATGGTTCTTTACCAATCACATAGGATGGGGCTTACAAAATCCATTTGCCCATGAAAGAATGCATGGCTTGGGGATGGTAGAAAGCAAAAGTGGATGGTTTGGGGGTCATGGGTGAAATAGCTTGGGAATTCCTCCACTTGGCTATGATACCTAATTATATATTTTTTAATAGTGGAGATATAAATCGTGGTAGTAATTAGTTTTATTGAATATATATATCATTGCAGAGTGTGAAATTCATGATATTTTCAATAAGAATGTATTACTTTTAGTTAGATATTCTTTAAAATGCAAATAAGGTATGATTGTGACGGGTTGCCCCCATTCCGGGGTGCCACCTGATGTACTGGGGTACCACTGAGCTCGCTTGTTCCACCTCTGAAGCACCTGGCATTGGCCACTGTCAGAAGACAAGTTGCTGGGCTAGATGGACCTTTGGTCTGACTGAATATGGCTGTTCTTGTGTTCAAATTGTCCATATTTAGCTATACATGCATACATTAGCCATACTGGAACTATTAACTTAAAAACACCCAATAACAGATTATTAATGACAGCGTATATTTATTTTTTTCACTGAAAAAGGATTCTGGGATATTAAATCATGAGAGGAAAAAGTGATGGTGGAAGGATGTGTAGTGGACAGAGCACTGGGCTGGGACTCAGGAATCATGGGTTCAATTCCTGGCTCAGCCATTTCTATTGTCACCTTAGGCAAGTTACTTGATTTACACTAAAAGAAAAGGAGTACTTGTGGCACCTTAGAGACTAACCAATTTATTTGAGCATAAGCTTTCGTGAGCTACAACTCACTTCAAAGTGAGTTGTAGCTCACGAAAGCTTATGCTCAAATAAATTGGTTAGTCTCTAAGGTGCCACAAGTACTCCTTTTCTTTTTGCGAATACAGACTAAAACGGCTGTTACTCTGAAACCTCGATTTTTACAGTGGTTTTCTGAGCTGATTCATCGTGTTCCTGATTTTCATGGGTGGGAGTTTTGTGACTGGTTTCTTTATTGACAGCTCACCGATGCTGCTAATTGCCTTTACCATTAATCAGTTGTAAATGATTGTCTTCGCAGCGTTTTCATGTGCTTCTGGTGAATACCTAGAAATGAAGAATCAAGTGTGCAGTAAGTGTGCCGAGGGGACATATTCTTTGGGCAGTGGGATCAAGTTTGATGAATGGGATGACCTGCCAGCAGGATTCTCCAATGTGGCAACTTTCATGGACACTGCTGTCGAGTCAGCTGAGAATAAAGCAGAGAGCTGTGACAAGTAAGAGGCTTATGGGTTGGCCTGTGGCCACACTGGTGAAGGGGTTGGTTTGACTCTCATGGATTTCACTGGGCTTTGGATCAAGCCCATAGTTTGCTGTGGGAACCAGTTGCTCCAGTAGCATAGTAACATATAGCTGGTGTTGACAGAAAACAGCGATGGGTAGACTACGCCCCTCAGAATGGAATGCAGGTTATGTGTTAGTGAAAGCTCTCGGAGTTTGATGATGCCACCAGCTGGTTAACGGAGGGGACAATTGAACATGCTGTGCTGTGTAAGTACAGAAAAGTACATTGTGCAGTAAAAGCAATCTCTGCACGTTGCCAAGAAGCAGACTTCAGGGATATTGAATTGTTGAGAATAAAGGATAAATAAAATGGGCCCTATTTGACCCTGCTGGTCCACTGGCACAAAGTCAGTTTCATCATCTACCTAAGCCTTCCTCTGCGCTGGAGGACTCCTCGGGTGCCATAGGACCAGTGGAGTAGCATGACAGGAGTGGCTAGCGAGCCACTACTTTCAGCCAATCCCCTGCTGTCATAATGGCCTCCGAGATGTCATTAGCAGCCAAAAGAACAGGAGTACTTGTGGCACCTTAGAGACTAACAAATTTATTGGAGCATAAGCTTTCGTGGGCTACAGCCCACTTCATCGGATGTATAGAATGGAACATATAGTAAGAAGAGATATATATACATACAGATAAGTTGGAAGTTGCCATACAAAGTGTAAGAGGCTAATTAATTAAGATGAGCTATTATCAGCAGGAAAAAAACACTTTTGTAGTGATAATCAGGATGGCCCATTTAGACAGTTGACAAGAAGGTGTGAGGATACTTAACTTAGGGAAATAGATTCAATATTAGCAGCCAGTGAAACTTGGAGCAGCCTTGAGCTGTTTTAACTTGTACCTGAGTGGCTCTGGGATCAAGGAGGAGTAAAGGTGGCTTAAAACTACTGTTACACCCGGCATGATCAGTGCTGATTGCAGAAGGGCTATTCTTAAGGATATGGCCCTCTGTATCCTAGACAAGCCTTCCTGATGTGGATGCATTAGAAGTTTCCAGGAAACAACATACATTTGCCCCCATTCACAATTTTGATGTGCAAAAAGGTAAATTTTGACAGAGCACATAATCCTTTGTGTGAAAAAGATGTGAGAAATGGGTGTGAAAGGGTCAGGGAGTGACTCTAGCTACAGTGGGGTCCTGTGTCCTTTACTGAGCAATATATTTTAAATAGAAATGTTATAAATGTCTTCTGGGTTCCTGTGATCTAAAATAAGCCTTGTTTTGTTTATCTTTATCCAGCTCTTCGTGGACTCCTCATGGGAATTACATAGAGTCCAATAGAGATGACTGCACTGTTTCTCTAATCTATGCTGTACATCTGAAGAAATCTGGTTCTGTCTTCTTTGAATACCAGTATATTGACAACAACATCTTCTTTGAGTTTTTTGTAAGGCTTTTATACACTGAATCTAACCTCAGAGTAAAGAGATGTGTTACAGATAAAGACCTATTTTGGAATCAGCTTAGTTTTCTCCTCACCAAGTTATTAATGTCTCTTTAGCTTATTAAATCTGAACAAATTTTTAAAATCTCATTTCCCCTCTACCATTTATGCTGCCTGTCTACTTTCTGCATTTCATTCAGCTTTGACAACAAGACTAAACTGCTTGCTTTCACTGTACGGTAGGGTCTTCATAAGTGCCTAAAGGAGCTAGGACCACAAAACCCATTGAAAGTCACCATCATTTCTAGTCACTTTCATAGCCAGGTTGTCTACAGCAGGGCTGGGCAAACTTTTTGGCCCAAGGGCCACATCAGGGTTGCAAAACTGTATGGAGGGCCGGGTAGGGAAGGCTGTGCCTCCCCAAACAGCCCGGCCCCCGCTCCCTATCAGCCCCTTTCCACTTCCCATCCCCTGACTGCCCCCCCCTCAGAATCCCCGACCCATCCAACACACCCTGCTCCTTGTCCTCTGACTGCCCCCTCCCGGGATTCCCCAGCCCTAACCTCCCCCCGGGACCCCACCCCCTATCCAACACCCCCTGCTCCCTGTTCTCTGACTGCCCTGACCCCTACCACACCCCTGCCCCCTGACAGGCCCCCCGGGACTCCCACACCTATCCAACCGCCCCCTGCTCCCTGATTGTCCCCCCCAGAATCCCAGACCCATCCAACTCACCCTGCTCCTTGTCCCCTGACTGCCCCGACCCCTATCCACACCCCCGCCCCCTGACAGGCCCCCTGGGACTCCCATGCCAATCCAACCCCCCCATCTCCCTGTCCCCTGACTGCCCCCCGGAATCCCCCACTCCCCGCCCCCTTACCATGCTGGAACCAGCCATGCCGCTGCACTGCCCGGCAGGACCGGCGGGCCAGAGCACTGGTGGCGCAGTGAGCTGAGGCTGCGGGGGAGGGGGACAGCAGGGGAGGGGCCGGGGGTGAGCCTCCCCGGCCGGGAGCTCAGGGGCCAGGCAGGAGAGTCCTGCGGGCCAGATGTGGCCCATGGGCCGTAGTTTGCCCACCTCTGGTCTACAGTTTGCACAGTGCTATCAGCAGCGTGCCATCTGTGTATGCAAGGCATGCATTGCATGTCCCAGGACCAGCTATGCCCATGGGATGATTCCATCTGATCTCCAAATGCGCATGGAGGAGATAATATTTTATAACAAAATGGCCCCATATGTGCTAGGTCACACTGCATGCGTGATGCATGCAAGGTCACTCTGTGTGGAGGACACCATGAGGCATGAGGAAGGCTCTTAAGTTTGGGTCTAGAGTAGAGCTGGCGAGAAATGGTTTTCCCATCCCGCGAATGCTTTCGAGAGATCAAAATTTTGTCCTGTCTCAAATCAGGATGAAAAGTCAGAATCTTGAAAATAGTCACAAACCGAAAAACTGAAACTTTTTTTTTTTTGGTTCAGAACAATTCAAATGTCTTGTTTCAATTTAGCCCTTTTTCCTTTAACCTTTTCTTTAGTCTGATCAGCTGAAATTTCAAAACGAAAAGTTGTATAGAACCAGAAATATGGGTCAGTTTTGAAAATATTGAAATGAAACAGTTTTGAAACTTTTTTCCTCAATGTTGTTTTCAAGCCAGGAAATCCGTCAAATCTGACCCTCCTGTGCCAATAGTTTAGGTTTCAACAAATAGCCTTTTTTGACACCCCATCCCGCCCCCAAAAAAAATGTGTTGAAAAATTGCTGATGAACTCTTGTCCAGATTCCCTTTAACTTGAAAAAATATAATCTAGTTTGGCCAGCATTGTTTACACAGAGAGTCGTGTGGGACTCTAAATATGTGAATATCCTTACGACATTCTGGGAATGAGAATCTCAGTGTCATACAGGTGGCAGCTTAATCCAAAAGTTTCAGAAATGGCTAGTGATTTTGGATGTCTCCATTTTTGGGTGTCTGATCTGAGACACCTTTAAGGGGTCTGATTTTCAGAAAGTACTATGAACGTGCTTTCTGAGTCTCAAGTTGGGCACTCAAAACCCAAAATCACTAGCCACTTTTGGAAATCTTGGTCTCCATTTTTGGGAACGGATCGGTCTGTGTCACTACCATGCAGAGAGATGGATGAAAAGTGAGCTGTTTCTGAGGTTTAAGATTGGGATTTTCAAAAAAGTTCCATGCAGCTTTCACTGCCCACTTGGTACTTCCTCAGACAAGCGCCTTGTGTGCTTTCTCTCAAGCTTCCTCTCATACTTGAGAGTTGTTCCTTCCTGTAACCATCCACAAAGCTACCTCATTATCCACCTTCAAATCCCTCCTTTAAAACTCTCCTTGTGACGCCCACAAAAAACTTGACAAACTTGACAAATTACAGAGACCACTGCCTATCATGGTGACCAACATTGCCATTCTAAGCTCCTTGGGGCAGGGATCATCTTTTTGTTCTGTGTTTGTACATCACCTAGCACAGTGGGGACCTGGTCCATGACTGGGGCTCCTATCCAAATAATAATGATAAAAAGACTTAGGAGTGCAGATCCCATTGATTTTCAATGGGATTTATAAATCATTTCTGTGCTTTGAAAGATTCTAGCCTGAGCTATCTCGCTTTGCCTGTCAATGTTACATTTGCTGCTGAATGTTGAGAAGGGGGCAAATGAGGACTTAAAACAGAGAGAGATGGCAGCTCAGAATAAAGAAAAGGAGTACTTGTGGCACCTTAGAGACCAACAAATTTATTTGAGCATAAGCTTTCGTGAGCTGTAAGAGAGCTACAGCTCACGAAAGCTTATGCTCAAATAAATTTGTTGGTCTCTAAGGTGCCACAAGTACTCCTTTTCTTTTTGCGGATACAGGCTATCACGACTGCTTCTCTGAGTGTGCTGGAAATTGTCCATCTCCTCCGTCACCGACTTTCTCTTGCTGTCTCTGGCGGGTGAGTCATTGCCATCTGCAAAGCACTGTCATGCTATTTCACAGCGGTGCTAGGCCTTAACTAATGTTTTTACGGTATTTTGAGATGCTGGGATGAAAGCCTCTATGTAAGAGATAAGAGAGGAAGACAAAAAATAGCTTGATTTCGATGCCCGAGGCCCTTTATTGCTGTGCCTGTTACTTTCATAAAATCTACTGCACTGTGATAATAGAAAGTGCATACTGTATTATTAAACCTCTTTCGCTTTTTATCATATGTCCTGTCTGATTCATAAGAAGTAAGCAGCAAAATGTGCTTTTACTGCCAGATGCATGTAGCAGAATATGATCCTCCCTGTGGTTTCTTGACTGACTAGTGATTGATTTTCTCATGCAGAGGAGCAAAAATGTTGTTTATTGGAGCACTAGGTCTGAAAGCTGCTTCCCACATATTATTTGCTCTTATCAACATAGCGCTGATGGTTGGTCACCTCCTTACATTTGTCGTTCCCTTTATATGTATCAATTAGCAGGCTGTCATTTTAAAAGCCATTAACCAAATAATTGTAACTTGGCAGCCAGATTTTCATCCTGATGCTCTGTACTTCAAGGGCTTTAAGAATGCACTTTTCCCCAGAATACATTGTTGATTAAATATTTTTCATCATTACATCAGCATCCCCCTATAATTTAGGTATAGAATCTATCTGTCTTAGATATTTATATGGCCCCCATGGTATCTGAATACCTCATAATCTTTTCACATATTTAAACTCCCCACAACCCTGTGAGATAGGGCAGCCCCATTAACCCCACTTTAAAGAAGGGAAACTGAGGCATAGAGCGACAATGACACAGCTCCACAAGGGTACTTAGGCGCCTAACCCCCAGTTTTAGGTGCCCAGTTTTAGGCAAAATCCCTGCTCAGCTGCCACCCTAGCCTGTGGGTGCCTAAACTCACTCAGCACCTGTTTGTTTACAGTAAAAGTTCCCTCGGTGTCCAAGTCTGTGCCTCTGGGCACATGCACTGCTGCCCCACTCTAGGCATCTGGACGCCTGTCACCTACCGAAGCCTCAGTTTGATCCACAAACCAGGGAAAAATAGGTTTTCCTCCCCTTAACTCACCCATGGAGCCTAATCTGACAGGTATGCTCAGAGGCACCTATCTCTACCTAAAATAGCAGCACTAGGAGGTGCTCTAGACCAGTGGTTCTCAAAGCCAGTCCGCTGCTTGTTCAGGGAAAGCCCCTGGTGTGTCGGACCGGTTTGTTTACCTGCCGCGTCCTCAGGTTTGGCCGATCGTGGCTCCCACTGGCCGCGGTTTGCTGCTCCAGGCCAATGGGGGCTGCGGGAAGCGGCGTGGGCCAAGGGATGTGCTGGCCACCCTTCCCGCATCACCCATTGGCTTGGACCGGCGAACCGCAGCCAGTGGGAGCTGCGATCGGCTGAACCTGCGGACACGGCAGGTAAAGAAACTGCCCCAGCCCGCCAGGGGCTTTCCCTGAACAAGCGGTGGACTGGCTTTGAGAACCACTGCTCCAGAGGGTATTCCCTGGGGAGGTGGAAGACCCCAGGTTCAAATCCCGCTCTGCCTGAGAAGAGATTGGAACAGGGATTTGCTGCTTCTCAGAAGTGTTTTAACAGCTGGGCTATTGGGGGATTCTTGCACTTTCTAAGTTGGTATTTAATTATTCAGTTAAAGTGGAACAACTTCAATAGGTGAGCTGGAGAGAGACCCACATCAGAGTATCCCATAGTGTGATGCGAACTGTTAGGCCTGCTCAGAGGCCACCTAGGTCTACACAAAGCAGCAGCATGAGACGGAGACCCTCTTCCATACTTTTAGCTCAGTGGCTAAGGCACTCAGCTGAGAGGTGGTCCATCCCTGTTTCAATCCCTTCTCCTCAGGCAGAGAGGGGAATTTAGCACTATATTTGGAAGCCCTCTCTTAGACTGCTAGTGATTTTGCATGTATTTTCTGGATGTCCTTTGCAACAAGTAACATAGCCCCTGTCCTGAATGCAGTGAGAGGGGGACAGAGAGCAGAATCACACTGCCTTTAGTCTACAGGCATCCTTCTGCGGTGTGTCCTGACTAAGACACTTAACCAGATATCTGATTGTGACCACTGTTTTTAATTGACAGATTCAAAATGATCAGTGTAAAGAGATGGACTCCACGGCTGACAAATGGGTGAAATTAACAGACAACGGCGAATGGGGCTTTCATTCCGTAAGTGCTAAGTGTCGCTCCACAGCGCTTTCCTTTTGTTTATAAATTAACATCGATTCTTATGAGATGTGAGAAAGGGAGGGCCACATCCTGTGAATTCAATGGCTGTGAAAGGAGCACAGCTTCTCTCAGGAGTAAGAGATGTGTGCTCTCAGCTGATGTGTGCTCTGAGGGCCTGATCCAAAGCCTGTTCAAGTCTATGCAGGCCTTCCCACAGACTTCACTGAATCAGACTCTTTAAGAAATCAGGTAGATATATGGGAATCCAAATTCCACAGGGCGCTCCCATTCATTGTGATCCATATCTTCCAAAACGCTTGCTCATTCACTTGCACAGTAGATTGTTCCCTGCCATGTGAATGACACTGCAGTTCACCGGCGTTGTGTGTGCACATTTGAGAATAGGATTTTGCCTTTTATTTTCAAGTGCATTTCTAGGGGCTGGGCTCCACTGTTCTTTCTGAGCAGTTTGAAAACCAGTTGTGACTGGGGTCCCAGGGGTGCCTGGCTGAGTTTGCTCAATTAGGGCAAACTGCAAAGAATGGGGGCAGACAATCCCCAAATACTTAGATTTACCAAGCCAGCAACAAAACAGCTTCTATAACACCTTACTGGTTGCCCAGAAGCCAAAAACACAGTTCCCTTAAAGCAACCCAGCCTGGGTCCTCCTCCCAGACAGCCACATCAAATATGATGAGGATTATTGAAAATCTTGTTCATCATATGAAAAAGTTCTACCAATCCCAAAGGATCGGACACATTACCCACCAAGTTAATTAATATTTCAGCTCTTACCCAAATACATGCTTACAGCTAATTCTTATGAACTAAACTAAAATTTATTTAAAAAAGTAAAGAAAGAGAGAATATTGGTTAAAAACTCATTATACAACCAGACAGGAATATAGTTCTTAGGTCAGTTTCATAGCAGAGATGGTGAGCTTTAGAGTTGCAAAGAGTTCTTTCAGCATTAGTTCGTAGGTTCAGTCCAATGTTCAATATCAGTGAAACTGGAGATCTCAGTCTTGTGGCTCAAACTTCCCTTGACAAAGCATGAGCAGATTTGAGATGAAAGGATCAGGTCCCAAAAGCCCTTTATACATTTTCCGGGCGGCCTCTTGACTGCATGCAGTTCTTGGGTGAACAACAGTGTCTTCGAAGTAACCTCCTATTTCCTAAACATTACCAGTAGTTAGCTACATGGATTAATATAAGGCAGTTGCCTATCTCCCACCATTTGCAGGTGATTTGCTATATACTTCAAAGAGAAATCAAGATAGTGATATCACATGCATCTGATGAAGTAGGTTTTAGCCAACGAAAGCTTTTGCTCAAATAAATTTGTTCGTCTCTAAGGTGCTACAAGTCCTCCTCATTCTTTCTACTACATTCAGTTCATTTAAATGTTAATATCTCCTTTTGATCTCTGAATTAACAGAATACAATGACAGACAGGAATTGTTTGGTTACATTGTTAACCTCTAACAGTATATATGTAAACACACACAAACACAAACATTATCTACTAATATGTCTCTAAAGGTTGAATCTGGGTCAATTAGCCTGCTAATAACCCTTTCTGCCCCTGTGTCACACAGTTTAGTTGAATTAGTGCAACCGCTCCATGTGCAGCTCCTCTCAAATCAGATTGGAGGTCCCCAGTAGGGGGCCCGCACTCATTTAAGTAAATTGGTTTCTGCACGAGTTATGTTCAGTCCGTGCCCAGAGCATGTAAACTAGCCCTGAGTTTCTTTGTGGTGAACAAATTTCATCCCTCATCAACCCCCAGACTGAGGCTTGGGCTACCCAAAATGTTTTGCTGGCATAGCTATATGGGTTAGGAGGGTGAAAAAAATCATACCCCTGATTGACATAGCTGTGATGGCAAAAGCTCCAGAGTAGACACCAAAGAGTCCTTTTGTTCAGGGGACTGGCATAAGCTCTGTCTCCACTAGGAGGGTTTGCTGGTATAGCTCCACGAGCGGCAAGCCCTTTCTAATGTAGACAAGGCCTCCCACTGGTGGGTTTCACTCTGGAGTGCTTTCTGTTCAGACTCTAACAAGAATGCAGCTTTTAGTTTACCTGTCTGTGAGCCTGGCTGGGCTGTTTGCAGAGCTGATGCTAGGCATAAGCAATTGGTTAGGGCCCCAAGCAACTCAAGGGGTGTGTGTGTGTGTGTGTGGGGAGGGGGGGGCTTTTTTATTCAAGAACTTTTTTTTACAAGAACTTGCCTATTTTAGTATTGCTGGGAGCGCGGGGGGGGGGGGACGGGACGGGGACACACAAAATATTCCTGCTTAGGGCCTCCAATGGGCTAGCACCAGCCCTGGCTCTTTGCTCAGTAGCTCCTTTATAATTCCTCACCTTAAGCAAACACAAAGCATGAGGTTTGGAAAAGTGCTCAGTGTTAACCTAACCCTAACCCTGCTTGGGCCTGTTCTGCACTTGAAAATGGCACCCATCTAACTGTCGGTTAGGAGGGCGAATTTTGTCTCAAGATAGTTATACCAGTGCAGCCCGAGTGTGGCTGCGATTATACTGGTATACAAGTGCCTTATCCTGGTGTAGCTTATTCTCTTTCCCATAGGGAACAACCATACCAATACAAAAATGGCACAACTCTCTAGTGCCATCAAGGCCTTGGTAAATGGGAGCAGAGATAGGCCAAGGCTGAGAACTTTTGAAAATCCCAACCCATATAGCAGAACTCACGTAAAAGTGTGGCTTGTTAAAATATTGGACCCTGTTTTTTAAAAGGTGAATTGTGCGGCTGTAGAAACAAACTGATGGATTAAGATCCTAGATCTGGAACAGAGTAGAGTTAAAAATGACTGAGCACAAGCACCAGGGGAACGCTGTGCACTCCTGGTGTGCTGGGCACCTCCAGCTGTGAGTCGGCTGGATGGGGGTAGGCACACGACTCTTTGCCCTGCACTGCTTCCTGTTGGCTTAGGGGAACTTGCAGTGCACTTCTTCAAGGGAGGTGCCAGAGCCGCCCTGCCTCCAGCACCTCCATAATACCTGCGTCTGCCCTTCGTAGAGAGGGCACTGCTGCACCTTCCTTACCTATCTGTGCCTCCTACAGCCCATGACTTACAAAGCAGTTGACCCACAGAATCCCCAAATGCTCCAAGGATGTGAGGAAAATGAGTGACACGTACTAGGAGATAAAAGAACAACGTTGAGCAGGGGTCGATCGAAAGATGATGATGCGAAATATCATTCTTTTGTTGTTGCAGGTATCTTTGAAATCAGGGACTAATATATTATATTGGAGAACAACAGGGATTCTTATGGGTTCTAAAGTGGTGAAACCTGTTCTGGTGAAAAACATCACAATTGAAGGTATGGAATATCACACTATCAGCTAATAACTAAACTGTCTAATGTACATTGCAGTAATAATTGATGTTTTATTCCAGCCACTGTCTTTAAGGACATATACTTTGTTTTGGGAGAAAACATCTGACATCATAATCACAGTAAACCTTCCTTCCTCCTTTCTTTTTCTTTCTTTCTTTCTTTCTTTCTTTCTTTCTTTCTTTCTTTCTTTCTTGCTAGTAATTATTCCATGTATTCTGTTTTACTTTTCCAAATCTCTAGGAAAATATTTAGTCCACTGGTGTCCTGAGAAATATGATGCACGGAATTAATTAGTAAATGGTGACGCCTGCTGGGGAAGATTGGAATTGTAGAAGAAAAAAACAACTCAGGCTGTCTGCAACAGCACAGCATAGACCTTTATTATAACTGGGTTTGTCTGCTCTTGGAAATGTACCAAAATAGCTATTTCAGAATCAGAGTGGGGACTAATACTGAAGAAGTGTTACAGAATTATTATTCTAAAATAGTCCATTACATTATAAAACACTCAGGACTTGTGTACACTTGGAAATTTACTGTAATATTCTAGAATAGCTATGTTGGTAAATTTCCAAGTATAGATAAGCCCTTAGTTTCTTATAAGGTAATGCTCATCCAGATCAAACTCTCATTGAAGGGAATGGGAGTTTGGCCTGGGTAAGGATTGCAGAACCAGAGTCTCAGTTAGCAAAGTCCAGCGGACTCAAACTAGCAATGATTGTTTGCGACTGTTCAGTGGTGTTATATACAGTGTCTGTTTTCCCCGAAACAACTGTGTAGGCAGGAGTTGCAGGTACTGCTGCTCTCTATTTTTGTGCCTATTTATGTGCTTAATCTGTGCTTTGCTTTACAGGAGTTGCATATACATCTGAATGCTTTCCATGCAAACCTGGTACATTCAGTGATAAGCCAGGGTCTTCCAATTGCCGGGTGTGTCCCAGAAATACCTACTCAGAGAAAGGAGCTAAGGAATGTACCAACTGTAGTGAAGAAACACATTATGCAGGTACAGGGCATGAGCCAAAAAGAATACACGAACATGTGTCTGCTTCAGTATTATTATCAGCTCTGCGTTCTTTTATGGAGCTCTGTACATACACGGGAATCACTTTGCCCACCGCTAAAATGTAGTCAGAAGAGATTGGGACACAAAACGAAGATTAATATGGTGCCCATCTGAAACTGCAGAGGGAATTTATGTTGGCAACTTATAATGGCTCACACTGGAATTTGGCCAGGGTACTTTATAACTCCCATGCTTCAACAGAAAGCACCATGAGATCTTCAATGGCACTGGTTTTAGATTTCCTCCAAATGATGGTAACCCCCAAGCCAATCTGAGGCATTCGTTCAGTACTGATTCACTTGCAGCTCCCCACTGCTTCCTTCAGCTCCTGAGTGTTTCCTGGAGATCTCTTATTCAAAGAGTCACCTGGTCGACCCCTCCTTGTATTGGGAGATCTGATTGGATGGCAGAAGTCAGCACAGAATCATAGAATTGAAGGGCTGGAAGGGACCTCGGGAAGTCACCCAATCCAATCCCTGAACTGAGGCAGGCCCAAGTATACCCTAGACCATCCCTGACAGGTGTTTGTCCAATCTGTTCTTAAAAACCTTCAATGACGGGGATTCCACAACCTCCCTTGGAAGCCTGTTCCAGAGCTTAACTACCCTTACAGTTAGACAGTTTTACCTAATATCTAACCTGAATCCCCTTTGCTGCAGGCGTTAAGCCCATTTCTTCTCCTCTTACCTTCAGTGGACTTGGAGAACAATCAATCCTCCTCCTATTTATAACAGCCCTTAACATAGTTGAAGACTGGTATCAGGTCCCCACCGAGTCTTCTTTTCTCAAGACTAAATGTGCCCAGTTTTTTTAACCGTTCCTCACAAGTCAGGTTGTCTAAGCCCTTTATCATTTTTGTTGCTCTCCTCTGGATTCTCCAATTTGTCCACATCTTTCCTTAAGCGTGGTGTCCAGAACTGGACAGAGTACTCCAGCTGAGGCCTCATCAGTGTCAGCATATGAGAAATGATAGGTAGCATGGGGATAGGCCATGAAAGTGAAGTCAAATAGTTTGTTTGTTGCATATACTGTGTATAAGTAGCATATTTGATGCATATACACACACAATACTGTGATGTTATCTCAAATACTGCCCATTTGCTCCATTGCTCTTGCAGACTAATTAGCTTCTACAGTTCTTTTTCTTATAGATCAACATTTTGTATAGAGAACTGATTATCTGCCAGAAATGTCTCCTATCATGTTAACTGCTAACATTAGTATGGACACTGATTAGGGACTTGTGCCTCCTCCCATTGAAGTTAATGGGAATTTTGCAGTTGACTTCAGTGGAAACAAGTCCTGGCCCCAGCACAGTAAAATGTTTCTGAAGGGACAGACAAGTAGTTTTCATTTGTTATCAGATAAGAATTTGATTATAGTGCTTGCATGATTGATGCAAATTGGGGTTTACAGTTATTGCAGAGAAAAAGGTTTAGGTGCTGGTCTGACTGTATGGATGGTCAGTGTGTGCCAAAGCAGAGTATCAGACAGTACAAGTAATGGCTGAGCTTGTGAAAGGAACCCACTGGACTTCTGTGGGTTTGGGGTGCCTAATTCACATAGGCTCCTTTTAAAATCCCAGTGAATTTATTTTTGTTCCTGAATTAACATTTTTCCTGTCCCATCTTACAGTCTGGCTGGATACCTTGATTTTCAGCCCTTTGGAAATCATTGACCACTCTGTTCCTCATCCTTCCTTTTCAGATGAAGGATCCAGTCAATGTACAGAGCGTCCTCCTTGTACGAATAAAGACTTTTTCCAGATCCATACGCTGTGTGATAAGGAAGGCAAGGTAAGTCACATGTTCACTCTGATTCATATTATTTGCCAGTTCATTGAGCCATTTGTGATCTACTGGCCTGAACACAGGACAGGGAGCCCTTAATTTCTGAGTTCTTGTCCTGCTTCCAACACTGACTCTCTTAGTGGCCTCGGGCAAGTCCCTTAACCACACTCTCTATCAATTTATCCATCTGTAAATGTTCATTGCTCTTATGTTTTTCTAAGACATCTATCATCATAGTATGGAAGATCCTAATCTTTTAAACACTTGCATGTGTGATCAGTCTGACTGGGTCATTGGGATGACTCATGAGCATAGGTGTTTGCAAAATCAGGGCCTTGACAGAAATAACAGCATATACGTGCCTCATAGGAGGGAGCATCTTGAGGATTCATTGACTAGGGCTAGATAGTTTAAGCCTAGGGCAACCAGATCTACTGGATCTATTAGAGGGTGAGCTGCATTAGGAAAGTGCCGGTTGTGTGGCTTTATTCTCATTCCCATCACCCCTAGTCTCATGGGAACTCCTTTGCCAAAGCTCTGTAGGTTGGATTTAGAGGTTGAAGCAGCTGCTCATTGCAGCATTTTCCCCTGCAGCTCTTGCAGAAACTGGTCTGATCTGAGAGTTGATCCTTCAGAACTACTTTCCCCAAACCCTAGATCCTCTGACCTCTAGAGGCCCTCCCATCTCCCTTAGATCCAGGGTTGGGGGTAGCAAGTCATCTGCCTCAGGAAGTTGTCAAAATCCACTTAATTGATGGCCAGCTGGAGCAACACCTGCTAACAAGATGGAGCCTTTCCGCCTAAGGTTGGCAGCTGATTATACCCCTCTTTGTACCTGCACCTGCTTTAAGAAAAATCATATTAGAACATTCACTTTCAGAACATGGCAGCATGTGTAACGTTGACTTATCACACACACACTTCAAATCACATGGTACCTGTACTCTGCAACCTCTTTCTCATGACTTAGTAAATAAATAGCATTTACCACTACACCCCAAGGTAGCAGCCTGTAATTGCCATCTCCTGCAGATTGCGCTGTAATTGATCTGTGAAATTCAAGTCCCTCCTCAAAAGTCAGTTGCTTTGATTAGCCTCCCAACGCCGACCTCCGGGTCCACCACTCCTGCCTTCTTGATAACCTTTCCCTCAAACTACTATCAAATTAACTCATCGCAATTACATTTCAGGGTATAGAGCAGGATAAAGAAGTCATTGTCTGTATGAAATTTTGGTTTGTGCTGACTTCGCTAGTGCTTTTTATGTAGCCTGTTGTAAAACTTGGCAAATATCCAGATGAGTTGATGTACACCCTGGAAGACCTCTGCGTACTCCAAGGAGTATGCGTACCCTGGTTGAGAACCACTGTCCTAAGAGACTGCTCAAAAGCCTGTTGAAATTAATGGAAGTCTTTTCATGAACTTGAGGTTTTCAAAGGGGCCTAAGGGATTTAGCCACCCAATTCCCAGTGGGTTTCATTGACTTTCTCCTTTGAAAATCCCAACCTGATTGGCTAAATTCATATGCACATTGAGTTCAATGGGATTACTTGTGGGTGTAACGTTTACTCAGTTGCATGGAGTCTTTATATAAGAGCTATTAGTAGTAGTAGTGTTTTGTTTTAAATGACCAGCACACCCGCTGCAGAAATAACAATATGCTGGCAAGCCCATAAGGCCATGCCAACTGCACTGCAGCTTCGAACACAAAAAGTCCTGCATATTTACCTCGGAATTCCCCTAGTACTACATGGCAGTTATCTTCTATTGTGACAGTCGTCTCCAGAGAGGTAAAGAGAGATGTACATGAGATGGGTGGCCTAACATTTAAAATGTTGCCAAATTGAGTCCTGTATATATTTATCCACTTTGGAACATATCTAGTTTTCTTCTCTTGAGCTATTGAATCTAATGCATAAGGCATTAGTTTTCCAACTGTTGGGCATGCCTCCCTCTCCCCCAGGTGGGCACAACAAGGTTAATAGGGGGTAGGGGGGGCAGCAGAGACCTGACTAGTTAAATTTTTTTTCTTGTTTCTTCAGTAATAAGGATTCTTCTCAGTAGCTGAGTCTCCTGCTTCGACTCCAGCCAGGCTGGAAGATCAAAAAGAAAAAAGCAGGAGAGGAGGAGGAGAGGGCAGAAGGAGCGGGAGGGAAAAGAAGTAGAGAGAAGAGGAGTGGGAAAAGAACGACTTAGGGAGAAAGGAAAACCTAAGCCAAGGAAAGTGCAGACAGCAACAACAAATCTTGAATTGGGGCTCTGTCGGCCAAAGCATCTGGGGACCCCTAGCCCTAGTCCTTATCCTGGCTCGGAGAGGAAAGTGGGACTTTCTGTCACATCCGCCAAAGTGAGACCAGGGGGGCCAGCTATCGTTGCTGGCCATCCCAGAGCTGTGCTGTGGGTTAACAGGCCAACCAATTTTCCTGGGCTCTAGCCTGGCCAGGAGTAAAGGGCCTGACCTCTACCCATTCTTCCTCTCCTTGGTTACCCCTTGGGGACCAATCTTCCTTACCCTGGGGCCTATGAGCATGGATGTCTGCAGCTCTTCCAGTGTTTCAAGCAAGGGACTATATGAGGACTGCCCAGAAGAGTCCAAAGGAAAAGGAAGCTCAGGGGGATCAATCCTCTCATCCTCATAATGAGAAGGATACGAGCAGAGATCTGCCTCTGACTCATCTTCCTCCCATTTAGGTTACGACTCCCACGAATCGCAACCACTACTCCCATCTGCTCTCCCAACATGGCTCTGAGAGCACATCTTTGTCTCTTACACTTCCCGTGATCAGCCTGAGTTGTACTATGGGATTCCTCACTCTCAGTTTTCTGTTGTTTCAATGCAGACACTTCCTGCTCCAGCCTGTTACTCTCTCACTCACTGTCACCCGCCCCGGGCTTCTACAGTGCTACTATATGAGCTGCCCTGTTCCACCGTCCCCCTCTCCTACAAAACAAACAAACAAACAAACAAACCACTTATCAGTTATTCCTTCTTCTCCACCACTCCTGGCTGGCTTGCCAAATCTGTTACCCAGGATTTTCAAAGCAAATTTAAACATTTCACTCCAGGCAGTGTCAGGAATAAATCAATGGGAACACAGCAATTCTGTCTGATGAAATATTAATACAAGTAAGCGTGCTCTTATCTAAAATGACAATTTATTAGATATAAAGCACACAGACATAAGCAATAGGTTTAGGACATCCCAGATATAGTTACCCAAAGTCTGAGATGATTTTGAGTGATCACCAGCCAGACTTCCAGGGGCCCGCTTTCCATCCAGCTGATGAGGAGTTTAGATGTCGGCTCCTTTCTGGAAGGAAAGCTTCCTTGGACTGCTGTGAGGTATTTACTTTTACCTAATCTGTTATAGCTAACTCTAACAAAACATATCTACAGTGACTCCTAGTGCAGGGGTGGCCAACCTGTGGCTCCGGAGCCATATGTGGCTCTTCAGAGGTTAATATGCGGCTCCTTGCATAGGTGCTGACTCAGAGGCTGGAGCTACAGATGCTAACTTTCCAATGTACCGGGGGGGGGGTGCTCACTGCTCAACCTCCTACTCTGCCCCAGGTCCTGGCGCCACTTCCCCCCTCCCCCCAAGATCCCTGCCCCTTCTCCCAAGCCTGCCATGCCCTTGCTCCTCCCCCTTCCCCACCAGAGCTTCCTGTGCACTGCAAACCAGCTGATTGCGGCGGACGGGAGGCATGGGGAAGGATGGGGAGACACTGATTGGTGGTACTGCCCCTGGGTGGGAGGTGCTGGGGGCTGGAGGGGGGTAGTGGATGGGGGGCTGCTGACATATTACTGTGGCTCTTTGGTAAATTCTGGCTCCTTTTCAGACTCAGGTTGGCCACCCCTGTCCTAGCGGGTCAGCATAAGAATCTCTACTGGGTCACCCATTCTCCTAATTTCAACAAACTACTCATTGTCTCAAAACATTTCTAGTATTTCTAGCCATAACAACAATATGTCAGGGGCACCCAAAACCAAGGTCGCTATCCACTCAGTCTCTTCCATAACTTTCTATCCCGTCCTCCCTTTCTAATTAACAAACTGCAAATATGCAGCTGTCTGACCTTGTCTCACAAAGACCTAAAATTATTCCTAGCTATGCGATGTTTGGTTTACAGCTAGCAGTACATGGCTGATTGCAGGACTGCCAAGTTCTGGGGTACATGCAGGAATGTCATGGGGCAACAGGAGGAGAGAGGTGAGGTGGGAGGGGATGTGGCCTCCCCCTATGTAGAAGGTGGGGAGGGGCGCATTCCAGCTTGCTTGCCTGTCTAGAGATTGATACATAAGTGCTCCCCCTCTCCCTATCTGGGAGGTAATTCTTCCCTGCACACACAGCCTCTTATAGGTAAGTGCTGGAGATCGCACCAGGGCCAGAGGAGTGATTCTGTGAGTGATTCTAGGGATCCCAGGGACATGAGGAAAGGAGTGCAAGCCTATCTGTCTGTTTCCTGCTGGGGCTGCATGCCCAGAACATGTCCTGGGCTGGGGAGCAGCAGGGTGCCCCAGCCGGATGGGCTTCTGGACCCCAGGCATCTGTGGAAACACTGTTTCTTAGAAAGACGGGGGCATTCATGGTGGGATGTGACTTTCTGAAGCGGGACCCAGCAAAACAACATTTGGGAATCTCTGGCCTAATGAAATCCTGAAACCAAAATCCTGCAATGATCTGTCCATTAGGAACCCTTGGGATGGTAGCTGAGCTTTGCATGGACTCAAGTCTGCTCATGGGGGATCGAATAGCACAGTCTGAGCTGTACGTCAAATGAACAAATAAAATTTCACTGCACATAAGTCAATCCTGGGGGTTCAGGAAAAGGCAGCTCATGCTACCTGATTTCGTCTCCCTCCTAAATAAGGGTTGAAGAGAAATTCAGCGTTTTTCAAAGGATCATAGAATCATAGAATCATAGAATATAAGGGTTGGAAGGGACCCCAGAAGGTCATCTAGTCCAACCCCCTGCTCGAAGCAGGACCAATTCCCAGTTAAATCATCCCAGCCAGGGCTTTGTCAAGCCTGACCTTAAAAACCTCTAAGGAAGGAGATTCTACCACCTCCCGAGGTAACGCATTCCAGTGTTTCACCACCCTCTTAGTGAAAAAGTTTTTCCTAATATCCAATCTAAACCTCCCCCACTGCAGCTTGAGACCATTACTCCTCGTTCTGTCATCTGATACCATTGAGAACAGTCTAGAGCCATCCTCTTTGGAACCCCCTTTCAGGTAGTTGAAAGCAGCTATCAAATCCCCCCTCACTCTTCTCTTCTGCAGGCTAAACAATCCCAGCTCCCTCAGCCTCTCCTCATAACTCATGTGTTCCAGCCCCCTAATCATTTTTGTTGCCCTTCGCTGGACTCTCTCCAATTTATCCACATCCTTCTTGAAGTGTGGGGCCCAAAACTGGACACAGTACTCCAGATGAGGCCTCACCAATGTCGAATAGAGGGGAACGATCACGTCCCTCGATCTGCTCGCTATGCCCCTACTTATACATCCCCAAATGCCATTGGCCTTCTTGGCAACAAGGGCACACTGCTGACTCATATCCAGCTTCTCGTCCACTGTCACCCCTAGGTCCTTTTCCGCAGAACTGCTGCCTAGCCATTCGGTCCCTAGTCTGTAGCTGTGCATTGGGTTCTTCCGTCCTAAGTGCAGGACCCTGCACTTATCCTTATTGAACCTCATCAGATTTCTTTTGGCCCAATCCTCCAATTTGTCTAGGTCCTTCTGTATCCTATCCCTCCCCTCCAGCGTATCTACCACTCCTCCCAGTTTAGTATCATCCGCAAATTTGCTGAGAGTGCAATCCACACCATCCTCCAGATCATTTATGAAGATATTGAACAAAACCGCCCCAGGACCGACCCTTGGGGCACTCCACTTGATACCGGCTGCCAACTAGACATGGAGCCATTGATAACTACCCGTTGAGCCCGACAATCTAGCCAGCTTTCTACCCACCTTGTAGTGCATTCATCCAGCCCATACTTCCTTAACTTGCTGACAAGAATACTGTGGGAGACCGTGTCAAAAGCTTTGCTAAAGTCAAGAAACAATACATCCACTGCTTTCCCTTCATCCACAGAACCAGTAATCTCATCATAGAAGGCTATTAGATTAGTCAGGCATGACCTTCCCTTGGTGAATCCATGCTGGCTGTTCCTGATCACTTTCCTCTCATGCAAGTGCTTCAGGATTGATTCTTTGAGGACCTGCTCCATGATTTTTCCAGGGACTGAAGTGAGGCTGACTGGCCTGTAGTTCCCAGGATCCTCCTTCTTCCCTTTTTTAAAGATTGGCACTACATTAGCCTTTTTCCAGTCATCCGGGACTTCCCCAGTTCGCCACGAGTTTTCAAAGATAATGGCCAATGGCTCTGCAATCACAGCCGCCAGTTCCTTCAGCAATCTCGGATGCAACTCGTCCGGCCCCATGGACTTGTGCACGTCCAGCTTTTCTAAATAGTCCCTAACCACCTCTGTCTCCACAGAGGGCTGTCCATCTCTTCCCCATTTTGCGATGCCCAGTGTAGCAGTCTGGGAGCTAACCTTGTTAGTGAAAACAGAGGCAAAAAAAGCATTGAGTACATTGAGGATAGGCATGTGCTGAGATGATGTTCAGCTTGTGAAGTTCTCATGTACAAATGCCTCAAAACGTGCTCAGTTTTCAAAACGGGGGGGGGGGGGGGAAGGAAGTATTCTTTGTATGTGTTCTTCATACAGAGCATCCCAAACACTTCACAGAAAAAAGTCTATAAAATGCTCCAGGAAAAATAGAAAGTTTTTGTTTTTAAAGCCCAGTTTAAAGAGGGAAAGTGATTAAAGTCAACATATTCAAATTGGAAGTCAATGGAGATCTGCTGCAGTGCCTAAAAGAAATCAACTAACTAAGGTCTGATCCAAAGCCCATTGGAAAGACTGACTGACATCAGTGAGTTTTGGGTCAGGTCCCTAGTGATGGAAATGGCAAGCGGAGATAACTGATATTTATTTGTTAATAGAAGAGAAACATACTTTCACCTGATTTGTAGCTGTCAAGTTGTGCACATGGGCAGCCTACTTAACTGTGCGATCTTATTACTATTACTCTCATCCTTTCCTCATATTGCTTATTACACTCACTTTTTGCATCTAGTTTTAAATTATATTGTAAGCTCATCAGAGGAAAGCTGTGGATTCTTGTATGTACGGCGCCTTGCACAGTGGGGTGCTGATCTTGATTTGGGCCTTTGCCTGCTATTGCAATACAAACAATGAATAATAATGATAATAATAATAACAGATGCTTGCCTCTTGAAAATCAGGTCACTTATTTTGGTGCCTCGCCATGGATTTAGGCTCCTGTCTGGAAGATGATGGCTTCCATGTGTAGGAGAAAATGGGGAGGGGAAGAAAGCTCCAGATGTGGCATCCAAAGTGCAAAAGAGGCCCCTTGTTTCCAGTGGTGAAGAATCCTAACTTATGGGAGGGGATACAGAGAAGCGTAGAGCAGAAGGAGGCTATGAGATCATGGGATTAGAGTGGAGAGAGTGCAAGGAGAGTTTATAATGAAGGTGACAGAGGGATGGGGTGATGCTACTGGAGTGACAAAGCAGTCTGTGCTGCTGGACCTGCTGGAGGTTAGAGTGTAGGGATTCAGGAAGCGTAGCCGAGGTGATTGCAGTAGTCCTTGTGTGATTGATTTCAGCAGTGTGAACCTAGCAGTTTTGTCAAATGACCCAGGGATGAGTGTGGGTATGCATGAGCTTGTGTGTGTGATGTATGTGTGATAAAATGACATCCTACCCTGTCAGACTCTCCTTTATCTGCCTGCCTTGACTGTCTCGGATCCTGGCTACACCATAACTTGCTTCTACTGAATGCTTCAGACACTGAATCCTTCTCCTAGGTAAAAAGTCCTCTTTGTCCCATGTTTCTGACTCCACTAACACTCCTCACAGTCAAACCTTTGCTTTGCTTTTATGGCCTAAAATCTTGGAGTCATCTGTGAACCCAGTCTCCTCTCTCCTCCCATGACTCCCTTGTATTTACTTAACATTATTGTCCAAAACGATCTGATTGGTTTTCATTTTGTCATGCCTGGGTCCCACCGAAAACACCCAGCGCCTTCAGGTGAACATTAATTAGGAACTTAACAAGCTTTGAGTCCTAACGCCATCTAATTTAATGTGTGACTCAAATACCTTTCAATTTCAGACTCAGATAATGTACAAATGGATAGAGCCTAAAATCTGCAGGGAGGATCTTCCTGATGCGTTGAAACTGCCTCCTTCTGGAGAGAAGAAGGATTGTCCACCATGCAACCCTGGGTTTTACAACAACGGATCATCTTCCTGTGCTCCTTGCCCTCAGGGCATGATTTCGGATGGAACAAAAGGTATGAGGTCTTTTATCTGGTGAATACATCTTCTCAATAACTTATGGCAGTTAGACGCAGACAGACTTTGCTTGTTTTTCTGGAGGCTGTCACTTGTTCGTGTGTGGCCTACATTTCTGTGATGTGTCCCTGTCAGTCAGTGTTCTGGTTTGTAAAATAATTATTGGTTAAAGGACATGGGAGCAGGGTTGGGGAAGGAAGAGAGAGATGGAGAACATGAAGAACAGGAGTGTCCTAGTTGATCCCCAGAATGCTTTGTTATAATGTATTGCTGCCATTATTTACTGTGACATCTCCTGGCTATGTCTCTTGGCTGGTATGCACATATTTAAAGTTTATTTTTTAAGCTCTCTGAGAATGGAATCATTACCACTGCAGACAAAACATTCTGTCTAGTCCAGGGATTGGCAACCTTTGGCCCATGGCCCACCAGGGTAAGCCCCTGGTGGGCTGGGTCAGTTTGTTTACCTGCTGCGTCCGCAGGTTTGGCCGATCGCAGCTCCCACTGGCTGCAGTTTGCCGCTCCAGGCCAATGGGGGCTGCGGGAAGCAGCGGCCATCACATCCCTCAGCCCGTGCCGCTTCCGCAGCCCCCTGTGGCCTGGAGCAGCGAACCACAGCCAGTGGGAGCTGCGATTGTCTGAGCCTGCGGACGCGGCAGGTAAACAAACCGGCCTGGCCCACCAGGGGCTTACCCTGGCGGGCCGCATGCCAAAGGTTGCCGATCCCTGGTTTCGTCCATCCCGCTGCCGGTGCCTGTTTGTTCCCTACAGTTCATTGGTCCAGCTAATCTGATTCAAAGTATTGTCAGCAATGAGGCCTCTGTCATCCCAGCTGGGAGAAAGTTCTACAGGTCTGATTCTGTGCGGCCATTGGCTGTTCATTTTTAAAGGGATTAATGTTCCTTTTGAACTGTGTCTTCAGATTTACTCACAGCTGCCCTGAATGAAACACAAATGGTTATGGAGTTTGTTTAAAGCACTGTATTTGATATTTGCTTTTTGTGTGTAATTTTCTTTTCGTGCCTTTTTCTTCCTGTAGAATGCAAGGCCTGCCCTGCTGGGACTGAACCAGCTCTCGGGCTTGAATATAGATGGTGGAACGTTCTGCCGGTCAATATGAAGTCTTCTTGTTTTAATGTTGGCAATTCAAAGTGTGATGGAATGAATGGTGAGCTGGTCTTTCTGTCTTATTACTTGTCTGTCTTTCATGGGTGCCACTCACCAAAGTATTTGAGTGCCTATCCCAGTGAATATATGTGCTTTATGCAGTTCATTCCGACATGCAGCTCCTTTTCTTCCTCTCACTGCAAAAGGATTTAATACCTCTAATAGACATAGAACTTGCTGAAAACCAAAAAGGAGAAAATAAATAGCCTCAACTAGTGTAAACATTTTGGCTCTGTTGACTTCCCTGGAGTTCCACCAATTTATACCAGCTGAGCATCTGGCCCATAGTACACTGTTATGCATCTAAAGGTCTATTTTAGAAAAAAAGTCCTCTCCGAGTTCTGTTTTTGGTTTTCTCCATTTGTGTCTTACCTAATGTTTCATGATCACTGTGACTTTCAAGGACATTTTATTAGTGCTTTTGAAAACATACAAAATTTTCAATCTTTGCATCAAGCCAGCCTAGTGCCTTCAAAGCAGTCTCCCTGCATGCATGCTGAGATGGCAGCAGAGAGCCGTCACAGAACCCCTGTGAAAATATTCCTGTTCAAAAATTTTCCAACCCATCCTCCTACTAGTGCCTGTGAGGAATTGTTCTTGTTTGTATAAGGGTCCTGGTGAACAACTGTTCTCTATTTTACATGCTAAGGCTGCTAGGATGATGTAATTCAGTCCTTGGTTCAGCAAAACGCAGAAGCGCATGCTTAACTTAAAGTGCTTATGTACTTTGCTGAATAGGGATGGACTTCCACGTATCTGTAGATTTTAAGGACAGAAGGGACCACTATGATCATGTAGTCGGACCTTTTGTACATCACACCCCATAGAATTTCAATTGCTTTGATAAATCATGACTTCATGGTAACATTTGCACATGAAATTGACAATGAATAGCTAACTTCCAGGAGATGCAGGAAAATGATGGGCTCTCAGTTAGCTATTACCACTCAAAAAAAAAAAAAAAGATCTTGGAGTCATTGTGGATAGTTCTCTGAAAACATTTGCTCGATGTGCAGCGGCAGTCAAAAAGCATAACGGAATGGTAGGAACCATGAGGAAAGAGATATATAATAAGACAGAAAATATCATAATGCCACTATATAAATCCTCCACAGCTCTAAACTGCATACAGGTCTGATTACCCCAATTCAAAGAAGAAATATTAAACTTGAAAAAAAGGTATAGAAAAGGGCAACACAATTGATTACAGATATGGAAGCCGTTCCATACAAGGACTGATTAAAAAGACTGGAACTGTTCAGCTTAGAAAAGAGATGACTAAGGTGGGGATATGAGAGAAGACTATAAAATCATGACTGGTGTGGAGAAAGTGAATAGGGAAGTATTATTTACTCTTTCACATAACACAAGAGACATGGGTCACCCAATAAAATTAATAAGCAGTGGGTTTAAAACAAACATAAGGGAGTTCTTCTTCCCACAATGCACAATCAAACAGTGGAATTCGCTGCAAGGGGCTGTTGTGAAGGCCAAAAGTATAAGTGTGTTTAAAAAAAAAAAAGAATTAGATCAGTTCACGGAGGATAGGTCCATCAATGGCTATTAGCCAAGATGTTCAGGGATGCAACCCCATGCTCTGCGGGTCTCTAACTCTCTGACTGTCAGAAGCTGGGACTGGACAATAGGGGATGGATCATTCGATAATTGCCCTGTTCTGTTCATTCTCTCTAAAGCACCTGGCACTGGCCATTGCTGGAAAACGGGATACTGGGCTAGATGGACCATTGGACTGACCCAGTATGGCCATTCTTATGTTAGCTGATAGCCGTTCTTAATTACCTTTCTTTTAAAACAGTTTATTAGGACTTTACAATTTATTCTAAAGATTTTTAAAAAATAATGTATTTACTAAATAATTTTGAAAAGTACATTATATAGAGAGACTTGGATATTTAAGTAAACTGCCTGTTTCTTGTACAAAAAATGGCCTTTCCTTTGCAGGCTGGGAGGTGGCTGGTGATCACATCCAGAGTGGGGCAGGGGGCTCTGACAATGATTATCTTATCCTGAACCTGCATATCCCAGGATTTAAGTAAGGAACATAGTTTCTTTGTCAATTTTTCTTGTATTCTCCTCTTGTACCTGTTTCACATTGGCTTATGCTTGGAATACAATGGAAAGAAAGTTACTACACTAGAAGTGCTACCGTGGTCCAGCTGCACCGATGCAGCTGCGCTGCTATAGTGCATCCGGTGAAGACACTCTATGCTGACAGGAGAGAGCTCTCCCATCAGCATAATAAATCCTCCTCCACGAGAGGCAGGAGTTATGTCAGTGGAAAAGCTCTCCCGCCAACATAGCGCTGTTCACACCAGTACTTAGGTTGGTGCAACTTACGTTGCTCAAAGGGATGGCTTATTCATACCCTGGAGTGACATAAGTTATACCGATGTAAGTGGTAGCATAGACCAAGCCTGGTTCTCCAGTACCAGATCATCCATAAGTAACTCATTATCCAGTATTTTATTGTGATTGGGACTGTTGACAACATAAGCATTGAATCTGCAATCAGGATTCTTCTTACAACTGCATGGAGTGAAGTCATTGCGCATCATAACAGAATCAGGGCCTTGGCCAGTGACTAAGGGCCATATTGTGCTCTCAGTTAGGCTGGAGCAAATCAGATGCAATTCCACTGAAGTCAAACCAATGAGATCTGAATCAGGCCCTAGGCTGTGACCCTGCAGGGCTTACATACATAAGCAGTCCTACTGAAGTCAGTGGTCTGATGTATTCCCATACATAATGAGCAGCCATATGACTGACTTTTATTTTAAATTAAGGGATGACAACAAACAAGAAAGGCAAAAGAAAAGTCTCCATGAGAGAGATCACAGTGTCTCTGAATGTGTGTGTGTCCTCTCTGACATGCACAATCAGCTCTCCTTCACAAGGGTCTTGCCTTCACTAGGAAGAAGGGTGTTCTTTAACATGTGATGGAGCTGCAAAGCAGGGGACTACAATTCCCGTCAGCCCCCTCCCCACCGTACATCCCCTTTTTCCTGGCTATGCAGGGATTATGTTTCCCATTAGCCTCCTCCCCATGCACTTTCCCCTTCCCCTGGCCAGGTAAGGAGGAAGGTCCGAAACGGGAAGTGGCCAGCCTCTGTTTGGAGGTGGGAACCACATGGCAGCAGGGAGCTGGAGAGAAACCCCAGGAATTGTGGACAGAGCTCCATGTGGAACGGGCTGTGGCTGCCAGACCTCACAGCTGTGTGCATGTCTGCATGGGACTTATGGGGGAGCAGCAGTGGCTGGGCAGGAAGCCCGTGCAAAGAGGCCCAATGAGACACACTAACTGAGCCTGCTTGGAAACCTGCAAATGCTTTTTTGCTTGAATAGAAACTGGGCTGGAGAGGGCACCCCAGGCATTAGGCCTGAAGAGCCCTGACAGCTGACTGGACTGCCCCAGGGATCCAGACAGGTAAAACTGTATGTTCATTGTAAAAGAATAATGAAAAATCACCCCCCGAATTGAAATAGTGATATCAGAACAAAAACCAGTTACATTAGGACAGGTTTCATGTGAGTGAATTTCTTCACCTCTCCTGTTGATTAAAAAAACAATTGGCATAATTGAGTGCTGGGTGTCCTTAGAGCACCTGTTAAATATTTCATTTCCTATCTGTTAAACAGACCTCCAACATCAGTGACAGGGGCAACCGGGGCAGAACTAGGACGAATTACTTTTATTTTTGAGACCATCTGTTCGGCAGATTGCGTAATATACTTTATGGTGGTAAGTGAGACCTCTGTCTGTATGGCAGAGGGATATGATCTTGGTCTTCCACATATCTCTTTCATAGCTGTATATGGGCATGAATTAGCTGCGTTAGGTTTATTATCACGAAGAGTAAGTGTGGCATTAGTTTAATATCTGCAGTGCCCTTGAAGAAGTATTTAACTGCTGCTCTCCCAGGGCTTCTCCATCACTCATGGTAATGATCCTGTTCTTTTCTGTTATCTGATTATTTTAAAAGAAAATGACAACGGACTAAATTCTGCGTCATTCAATCCATTGGCAAAACTCCCATTGACTTCAATATGATCGGGGTTTGACCCCACAAGTATAATAGTATCGTGGTTCAGGATACAGGGCATGGGCATTGCACTCAGAAAAGTTGGGTTCTATTCCTGATTCTGCCACTCACCCACTGTGTAACTCTGTGGAGTTGCTAAGGCCTCATAGCTATAACTGTAACACACTGGCATTTAATATTTCACAGCTTCGTTCCACAGTATTGTTTTTAATTCTCCTGTGTATATTTTTAGGATGTTAATAGAAAAAACACGAATGTGGTGGAATCCTGGGGCAGGACAAAGGAGAAACAATCTTACACTCACATTATCTCCAAAAATGCTTCCTTCACATTTACATGGGCCTTTCAGAGGACAAACCGGGGCCAAGATGTAAGTATTATATGCTTGCTTTAAGTAGAGTATTTAACAACATAGCCTCCTCTTGACATTTGCTCGAAGTGCCCAGAACTTCCACTCCACTCCAGCTTGTTTCTCAGTTCATTTATAGAAAAAGCTGGCAGATGGTAGACCTCCTGTCCAACTTAACTGCCTCTTTCTGCCATCTGGATTTGTGGTTGTGGATATATCGGACTTCCAATAATGGCTGAGTAGGGAGATGGAAAGTGGATGGTTAAAAAGGAAGAAATGACATAGAAAATAGCGAGGAGCTGGAAAAGTTGCGTACATTTCTAAAAGCAAAAGACCTGAGGTGATCTCCAAAAAAGGTTAATGATCCAATTGACTCCCCCAATTGGAAGGGATGTCCCTCATTTCAGATCTAAATTTGCTTCCATCTGACACAAAAAAGGTGTTGTCTTGTTTTAGTAATGGTAGCGAGTGACATGAAAAATGCTGAATTGGGAAACTGAGGAGAGAGAAAATGTTATGGATGCTCAGGGAATGAATCCCACTGCATAAGCTTCCTGCACTTGCACTTGTACATTATCCATCCTGTTATGTCTTTTTCAGCACCTTGCATTTGGGCCATGATTCAGCAAGGTACTTAAGCACATGCCTAGCTTTGACCTTGGGAGCAGCCCCATTGGAAAAAGTGTGAAAGAACTGTCTGTGCAACTATTCTCATGCTTGAAATTAGGCATCTGCTTAAGAACCTTGGCTGAAATTGGGGCTTTTGGCTTTATCAGGTTTAGAGGCATGTTGGAGAAGTTCTAACTTGCTTGAGCAGCATCTACATTGCAATTAACCCAAGGTCTCCTTAACCCTGGCAGCGTTCGGAGGCAGTCTTTATGTGCAGATGAACTCTCCTTGGATAGATTAACCTCTGAAGGTAGCACAATGCTTTTCTTCAACATAGGTTATGCATTAGTAGTTGGTTCATCTCTTCCACCAAACTCAGCCCATTGAACGAACGTCTTCGTTGAGGACAACCCAAGGAAGATCTCATCGCGTATTTATCTTTGAGTTTTCCTGTGTTCTTTATAGATTATTCTGGAGTAATGAGGCACTGTAACACCGTATCTTGTCTCACATTCATAAGCCAACTGGCAGTGAGACTTCCTCTGCCAATAGTTCTTTTGGGGTTCTCAAGGTAGATTCACTGATCGTGGCCTGGTGCCCAGTGTCCCAGGCAGCAACAGGGGTAGTGAATCTTCCCTCTCTCTGTATAATCTACACTGAGGCAGTTCTCCCACAATTTTCATTTCAATGTCCTTTTCCTAAATTTTCGGTTGGATTTTAGTAATTGTGAGAACTGAAGGAGTGACAGCAGTCAACCTTAAATGTGGGCATGTGCAGTGCTAATCTGCACACATAACACTGTTAATCTACCATTACAATCCTGGAGCGCTGTTCAGCAGAGACCGCCATTCATGCTGGTGTGTTACAAATTCTGTGCTGGTTTTGTAACATTAGGCATTAGCTCTTGGAGCTAGTTGGAGGGCACCAAGCATTGCACCGGGGGCTTGAGATGAATCCCAAGGTCTTTGAAAGCAAAAGGCTAGCACATTCATCTACTCCACCACAAACCAAGAGAAGCTGTTCCTTTGTTATTGAATTGAGCATGCAGGCCTGCTCAGTCCAGTAAATATTGTTAGGGGCAGTTAAGTGCCATAGCTTTCTGCTCTCTCCTCTTATCCCAACTCCTGAATGTAGGCCACCAGCAGATTGCTCCACTGTGATTATAGTGGCTCTTGCAGTCCATATTGACTAGTTAAGGACCACTTCTATACCAAATATACATTGTTTCATTTATAATACAGAATAAACATGCACTGTTGGAATTAAGACCAAGTCATCACCATCAAACAACTGCTTCGTAGCTTATGTGAAATGAATTGGTAAAGCAGTTCTTAGTAGACAGATCACAAAGCCACTTATCACCAAGTTGGCACCAGGGTTAGTAATCTCAGTAGAGATAGGACTGTCTCAACATGGAGACTAGTTCTCCATTGGGTACCTTGGTGATGTGATTGTGAGCAACCATGCCTTGCTGCTGCCTTTTCTGAGGTAAAGGACTTAGCCTCCAGGTCTGTCAACCCAGCACAAAATTCATGTTAAACATTATTTTAAACGGTCAAAAAAACAAATGACAATCCTTTGCCTAATAACATTCCCCTTTTCTTCAGCCTCAACACATGATTTAGCTAAACAAATGTATATACATTTCTGGTATGATCTTCTTATCCCTTAGATACGAATTTAGGAATTACGTGTAGACCAGTCAGGTGCTGGTAATCATATGCTGTTAGAAGCCAACCTTATGGACTTCAGATGGAAACAGACTTGCAATACTACAGCCTGTGAACTTTGTAATCTAGAATGAGGTGGAGGTGGAGAATGGCCAAGGAGTTTTAGGCATTTGTCTGTCAATTGAGGGAATGGTCTGAGCACACACTATCAGTCTGGAACCTCTGAGTTTTATTCGTTGCTCTGAAGTTGTCTCTTCCTGTGACTTTGGGCAGTGAATCTTCCTGCCTCAGTTTCCCCATCCGTTAAATATGAACTCACCAAGTCACTGTTCAGAAAAGCATCTTAAGCAAGTGCTCAAGTGCCATTAAAGTAAATGGGATTTAGGCCCATTGTAAGCCAGTGGGTCAACACACCAACCAGTGCATTAAATAACATTTTCAATAGTAGCATGACTTCAATCCCTTCACTTCAGGGTTAAGTTTCATTTTCCAAATCAAACCAGTTAAACGTAAATCAAACAGACAAACTAGGCCCCTTCCCCTGACCCAGCGTCTCCTGTAAGAGCAAGTAAGAGAAGCTGTAAGATGTAAACTGCTGCATGTTATCTAGCTGCTGTAGGGGACAAAGACCAACACTGGATTAATCGGGCTTACATAAACTTGCCACTGGCCTCTGCTGGCTGGAATTCTAGACTCACATCAGATTGCGATATAATGGTGGTATCATAATGGTATCATAATAAACTAAGCTGCTTGTTGGCCTTTTATCTTAGTCTGCAAGTCACCTGGTCCTATCACCTGATCCCTTGCCTCAGCCCCATCACCTGAGCTGCAGCATATTAGTCACAGATGGGAACTAAACCCAACTTCCTTAAAGGGCCTTCCCACCCTGTGACACACATGTTTAAAGCTAACTGCATGCTTAAATCTATATTTGGGGCCCTACTGCAAAGAAGATGAGCATTCAGGATTCTGATTATGCTATAGTATAGCTGAACTATTTAAAGTGTGACTCAAAAGTAGCTCTGGGGTTATTTCTCCTGCGCTTATTTCAGAGCAGGCAATTCATACACGACGTGGCAAAGATCTACTCGATAACGGTGACCAATGTGTTGGATGGAGTTGCCTCGTCTTGCCAGGCCTGCGCACTGGGGTCTGAACAGTCTGGGTCATCCTGCGTACCCTGTCCTGCTGGACACTACATTGAGAAGGAAACCAACCAATGCAAGGAGTGCCCAGACAACACATATCTGTCTATACATCAGGTGTACGGCAAAGAGGCTTGTATCCCATGTGGGCCTGGCAGTAAAAGCAACAAGGTACAGAGATTGAAAGTGGTTTTAACCCTGACTAAAGGCAGAGATGGGAGGTTGTAATATAAGCACTCAAGGGGCAGGTCTTACTGCTTCACTGTAGAAATGCCACCAGGTTGCTTGTTCTGCAGTGTAGTTAAAACCAATGTTTCATAGCTCCAAATTCATCCCTGGTGTAACTTCTGTTTCTAAACGTGTGATGATATGCTATATTTGTGTTTCTGTGCGTCCCACAATGTGCAATGAAACCCCCATCTAGTCCATCTGCAGGGATTGAACCCAGGACGTTGGGATCCAAAAGCCCAAGCTTCTACTGGCTGACTGAAAACACTAGATCCATTAGTGCAAAAGTAGTAACGGATTTGTAAACTGCTGCATGTTATCTAGCTGCTGTAGGGGACAAAGACCAACACTGGATTAATCGGGCTTACATAAACTTGCCACTGGCCTCTGCTGGCTGGAATTCTAGACTCACATCAGATTGCGATATAATGGTGGTAGCCTGCAGCAGATATAAGCTGTGGTTAAAATAGTTTGGAACAGGAGTGGGAGCTCTCACCTCACCCACCAAGGCGGTGGGGAAGATGTGAGCCAGGGAGATAGGAGGGACTCTCCCTTTACTTTTCGCAGAGGAAGGGGAGTTGTTGTGGGTCAGTAGCTGTCCTGTAATATTTACCTTCTCTCCTTCCCAAAGGACCATTCCACCTGCTTCAGTGACTGCACACTGTCTTACCTCATGGACAACCAGAGCCTGAATTATGACTTTACCAACCTAAGTGGGGTAGGGTCATTAATGAATGGACCCAGCTTTACATCCAAAGGGACAAAGTTCTTTCATTTCTTTAACATCAGCCTGTGTGGGAATGAGGTGAGTGTTGGCTTTTGCAGGAGGGCGGGGCTAGCCTTACACTCGGTGTTTGCATTTCCGGACATTGATACGTTGCAGTATCTCACTAGTCATTTGGGGCTTGATCTTCGGTGGTGCTAGCAGTCCTTGGCTTTGTCAGCTACTAACACAAATGGGCCCTGCATAGCACAAGCACTTTCTAGTGGGCTTTCAATCCAGTCCTGAGTGCGGCTGCTGTATATGGCAGAATGATTCGCTGGCGAGGGCCCAGGAGTGCTGATGGCTGAATTGATGCACAGAAATGGAGCTTGCTGACGCCGTAGCCTCACTGATTTTCCTTTGCTCTCACGCCAGGGGGTCTCCTAAATCGTCATACACCTGAGTTTTCGGCAGCTAATGTGGTGTGCCACTGAGCTAGCAGCTGAGACTCTTTGCTGTTGACTTCTTTCTTCATGGCCCCAGTGTTTCTGTCTATGGAGCCCCTTGATGCCCAGCTGTCTGCCAGCATGCGCTTCCCGTGCCTGTACTTGACTTTCTGTTTTCAGACTTTCGGAACAGTGGTGAAAAGCGTTTAACTGATGCAGTTTAAAACCAGGATTTCCAGCAACAGGGGCTTAATCTGAGTCTTGAAATGTACCGACACAATGCTAGTGTGGACCCTGATCTGTCAAAGCACTTAAACCCATGCTTAAATGAAAGCATCTGCCTGATCCAGCAATGCACTAAGCACCTTTGTAACATTAAGCAGGTGAGTAGTCCCATCGTCTTGGAGTGACACACGTGCTTTGAGTTAAGCCTGTGCTTAAGTGCATTGCTGGATCAGGAACATGGAGATCTCATTAGCTTGCAGAATTGGGCCCCTCATGAGTAAACTGCTTTGTCCTTTGTTGCTGTTGCTCTAAAATTTTACTGTAGGTCTGCATGGAAGGATATGTATGACTCCATGAGACACTAATGCAGGCTTGTAGGCTAGAACCTAATATACATTCATTTATGCTTTGCATGCATTTATACTCTTTCTGAGAACAGCTTTTCCAGATGAAACCCCAGATAATGAGGTACTTTACAGTGTATCATTAATTGGTTAAGGGGAAAATGCTTCTCTTTTACAAGGCATTTTATTATGCTTTTCAAATAAACACCATGTTGTCAAGATAAACAAATAAAGGTACATAGTATCACAGGTTCTGAATAATACATATGGGAATGCACAGGGGGTAGGTGACTGGCTGTTTTAGAATTTGCACCAGAATTTAATAGAAAGCTTCATGATGGCAAAATAATGTTGCATGTTGTCTCTTTCTTGATGACAGTTTCTAATGGGGAATCAGCACCTTCTATGTTTGCATCCCCTCCCTCCCAAGGCTGCAAATCCTGCCGGAAGTTAACACCTTCCCTTTCTCGTTTAATATCCATAGGGAAAGAAGATGGCAATTTGCACAGACAATATAACAGATGTCACAGTAAAGGACATGGTAGCTGAATCAGAAGACTATTCCAGCTTGGTGGGAACTTTTGTATGCCAATCTACGATCATCCCGTCAGACAGTAAGGGGTTCAGAACAGCACTGGCTCTGCAGTCCAACAGCCTTGCTGATACATTCTTAGGTACATGGTTTTGTGCCTTTTACTTTTTGTTCATGAGGAAGACTCTGCAAGCTGTTCCGCTGCAGCTAAAAAAAAGGGCGATATTGTTTTATGCATATATATGCATGTTTTATTATAATCCTGCAAAACCTGTGCGCATCAGTGGAGATTGCAGTGGCTTAGCTTCTCTGTGGAGAAGGCCCACTATTTATTAGTTTGTGCTTGGTCACTGGTCTGGTGGTGCAGTTCAGACCAGTTAAGGGCTGTGTCAGCGCTTACCCTGCAACCCGCCATGCTGGGATGCTCAAAGCCAGCCTGCAAGCACACAGGTGACACCCTAAGGGTATGTCTACACTTAAACCACTACAGCGGTGCAGCTGCGCCACTGTAGCACTTCACTGTAGACCCTGCCTATGCTGACAAAAGGTGTTCTTCTGTCAGCAAAGGTAATTCAACTCTCCAGATCAGTAGCTAGGTTAATGGAAGAATTCTTATGTTGACCTAGCGCTTCTATACTTGAGAAACATAGCTATGCCAATGTAAGTTCCCAGTGTAGACCAGCCCTGAGTGTCTGTGTGCTAGGCAGCTCTGACCCCAGCAGTTTGTCTACAGCCCTGCTCTGGCTTCCACCAGCCTTGGTTGCAACCAGCAGGGTGACCCCAACACACCCGCAGTCCTGAATTTCCCCAAACTGTGTGCCCTGAAGTGTCCATCCCTCACCTGGACCACTCAGAGAAATAATAAGATTCGTTGCTCCTTTAAAGAGACAAAAGCATGTTACAGCTTGTTAACTTAACTGGGGTAAATATACCCTTCCCTGCAAACACAGCACTGAGTTTATTTATAGAAAAATAAACCCAAATTATTAACAAATATACATAGGATTAAGTGAGTTCACATATATGGAATGAAAATAGAAACAGTTACAAGTAAACAATAGAAAATATAAATTCTAATGGCTGAGACTTAACAAGCTACAGTCTTTGTTCAGGATCGATTTCTTACCAATCTTTCTTCTTTCCAGTCATGGCTGCCTTTGTCTCAGTCAGGACCTTCCACAGAAACACAAGTGGCTGGTTTCCCTTGTCTTCCTAGGTGAAAGATCTTTGCCTCAGCAGGTTTCTCACCTATATTCAGTTTCCAGAGACTTCAGTCCCCCTCAGTTGAAGGACCCATCTTTCTCAGCAATGTTCCCTTACTTCTGTCTTGTGCTGGATGCCAGCACGGCTTTCTGTGTCTGCTTGTATCTTCCAAAGTTCAATGATCTTGTTTCAGTAAGCAGGATGACCTCATACTGTTCTTCCCTTCCTGTGATCTTCCCATCCCCATGCTGATTTGCATGTAAATAAAACTGCCATTGTTTTTGGTCACACCTTGCTTAATTTCATTGGAGACAGGTAGATAGCTACCTTCCTTCCTGTCTGGGTAAAACCTGTTTCTCCCTTTATTTGGTCACAGATTGTAAAGCCCAGTATCAGTGAGTATTCACAGTTCCCGATACAGTGCTAATACATGCATTTCACAATTATATTAATCACCAATGTGTCATTAGCTTTCAGAAAAGACCTGACTTGATACACTTTTATAACACAGTAATCAGTTGATTCAATTGCTTATCACCTGACGTTCAGACCCTCTGTCTTTATAGCCCAGATAAAGTTTCTTTTCCATGCTGGAAGCTGTCTCCTCCCTCACTTGTTAGCTTGATCACTTTGTTTATCTAATATGTAAGTGGACCTTCCTTGTCTTTGCTTGACGACCGGGCTGGTCAGAGAAGCAAATACACGTTCCGTTGCCCAGGGCAGACCTCTTTACCAACTCCCCCTGACATGCCTGGTTTAAATACATTTTAGTCATAATTCCAGCATATATCCCTAACTCTTAATACATACCCCATATATGCATCACACAAGAATACCAAGGCTCAGTGAGTTATTAGTTTTCCAGTGACATATGACATGACATCTATTAGATACCGATTATGACATAAGTAAGCATCTTCGCTCCAGGGGAGAATTAAGTGGCTACTGGTCTATACCATTAACCGATTTGTTTTCCCCACTGTGTCAGCTCAGCTGTGTTGGCCAATGCAAGGCAGAGAAGAACAAAAGCTCCTCCCATTCCCTGCCTTTCTTCTCCTCACCTGCACAGAAGGTGGAGCTGCAACACATGGAGTTCATTGTCTCCCATACTACCCCGTGTAGGCCCCCAACCCCAAGGGTCACAGTGCAGTGGGATAAGGGAGCTGTTTAGGAATTTCAGCATGAACTAATGGGATAACATTTATTGAAAAAAAGCTTGTGAATTTGTCATAGAATCATAGACCATCAGGGTTGGAAGGGACCTCAGGAGGTCATCTAGTCCAACCCCCTGCTCAAAGCAGGACCAATCCCCAATTTTTGCCCTAGATCCCTAAATGGCCCCCTCAAGGATTGAACTCACAACCCTGGGTTTAGCAGGCCAATGCTCAAACCACTGAGCTATGCCTCCCCCCTCGCCCTTACTTTTGCCTGTCCCCTTACTTTTGCCTGTCTCTAGTGGACTAGGGCCATCCTCCTCATTAAAAGTACAACCTCCCACATTGGCAGTCTCCGCAGACACAGAATGAGCATGGAGCACAAACTTTGAACCCCCAAGAGGCGGTATAGGGAAGCTCACACTGTTAATTCCTATGCAGTCCCTGTTATTTAGATAGAGGATTCTACTCGTTAGGGTTGTACACATGGAATCCTCCACAAACTACACATTCCCTTTGAAAAATGTAAAACTCGATCTCATACAGTGAATTTTAGTATTAGCTCTTTGTTTTATTGCATGCCCTTCGATAATGGGTAGAAGTTCACATGGTTTATTTTAAAAAATTGTGCATAATGTGAAATTACTGGACAAATTCTTAATTAGCAAATCAGATGCCATTCTGGAAAGCACACTTTGTAAAGTACAAAGCATACACCTTTCAGAAACCACATGCTTAATTTGTTCTCTTTTTTTTTTTTGTTTGCTGTTATTTTTAGGAGCTACGGTTGAAACCACACTGGGAAATATTAACACTGAAACAGAAATGTTTCCACCTTCTCCAAGGACAATACCTGATGTGAATTTCTTTTTCAAGTAGGTGGAAAATTCTCCGTAGGAGGAACATCAGGGCTCTTTAATTGTTTAAAAGGAATGTAGACTTAGGGGGAAGGTCTTTAAGGCACTCTTCCAGGGCTCAGACTGATAGGCCTGCTGATGAGTAGGTTGTGAAATCAGCTAATGCAGCAGCTTGCACAAATCTGAGTTATTCCTGATTTACACAGAGGAGAGCCTGGATATTTCCAGGTGCCATCTTCAACCTTGTGTTCTGGGCCCTGGCCTCTCCTTAATTTATTTTTTAAATGTGTACTTTACATTTATATACTTCCTTTTGCATTTATTTTTATTTTTACATTTTTGTTACAAAAATGAACTGGAGAAAAAAAAACACTTAGTTTGAGACATGCTCAGCCTACAGTGTCCTCTTCTTAGTTTGTTCCTCCAGGTAATATTCCTACCAGCGACCCTGCTTTGGGTAAGATTATTGTAGTTTTAAGCCATTAGCCTACAGGGGGCAAATTGATGCAACACATGTCATTCTCCAAGTCCTGCCTACCTTCTGCAATTGCAGGGAAGTGTAGTTTGCAGCTTCCTGGGCTAGTGGGGTGAATGCGTCGACTGTAGTGTTTCCTGCAGAGTAACATTCAGACCATGATCTCTGTGGTTATGATTTTCTAATACTGTTATTTTGGACTGTGGGGGAGCCTGTTCCTCAGAGACAAGCCCAGTGGTGACTTGGGTCAGAATGGTTCAGCACTACTGGAAATCAGGCAGAGTCTCCAGACTCTCTAGGTCTAGGTGCATACATAGGCAGAACTGTGTGCATACATGTAAATATGCATTTACTGTGCAATATGTAATCTTTTTTAAAGTAAAATCAATATTCATTGCAAACTTTGCTCTTATTTCATATTAGGTCTTCTACACTTACAACCCCCTGTGAAAATGGACGTGCAACTGTTGTGGTGATGAGGTGTAATCCCACCAAACCAGGCCAAGGCGATATTTCAGTCCCCAGGTATTTAATTACGTGTATTACAGTAGTGCCTAGATGCCCAGTCTTCTTAAGCCATCCTTGGCAAAACTCTTTTAGTTGCCTTATATTTGCAAGTCGTGAGAAGTGCTTCCTCCCATCTGTGACTGTCCAGGAGATCGCACACATTTCTTCCAGGTGAGTACCTGGCCACAGTGATCCATGTATACGTCAACTCCAGGTGAACTGCTGGCAGCACATTCCAGCTATTGCTGGCTCCGAGGTCCCTGTGGAAGCCCCAGCAGACACCATACACAACAGCCTGCTCTTAGACAATAAAGCCAGGAAAGAGTGCACGATAGGAGTGTATTTAACCTCTCTATTTTGTACTCGGGCAACCTCTACTTGAATATTGTGTCCAGTTCTGGTGCTCACAATTGAAGAAGGATGTTAATAAATTGGAGAGGGTTCAGGGAAGAGCCAAGAGAATGATTAAAGGATTGGAAACCTTATAGTGATAGATGCAAGGAGCTCAATCTGTTTAATCGAACAACGAGAAGGTTAAGGGTTGATTTGATCCTCCCTGGGAAACAGAAATTTGATAACAGAGGGCTCTTCAATCTAGCAGACAAAGATATAAAAAGATAGATAAATTCAGACTGGGTAATCAGTCATTGAAACAATTCACGAAAGGTCCTGGTGGATTCTCCATCACTGGAAATTTTAAAATTAAAATGTGGATGTTTTTCTGAAATATAAGCTCTAGTTTAAACAGGAATTAAGTCAGGGAATTCCTATGGCCTGAGTTATACAGAAAATCAGACTACATGACGACAATAACAGGTTTCAGAGTAACAGCCGTGTTAGTCTGTATTCGCAAAAAGAAAAGGAGGACTTGTGGCACCTTAGAGACTAACCAATTTATTTGAGCATAAGCTTTCATGAGCTACAGCTCACTTCATCGGATGCATACTGTGGAAAGTGTGGAAGATCTTGTTATATACACACAAAGCATGAAACAATACCTCCTCCCACCCCACTCTCCTGCTGGTAATAGCTTATCTAAAGTGATCACTCTCCTTACAATGGGTATGATAATCAAGTTGGGCCATTTCACAATAGTCCATTGTGGCCTTATAATCGCTGAATCTGTGCCAATACTTTGTCTGCTCCACTGACTCCTAGAAGTCCCAGTCACGGACCCATTGTGCTAGGTTCGGTACCAACAAAGAACAAAAAGGCAGTTGCTGCCCCAAAGAGCTTACAGTCCAAGATAAGACCAGACATAGCAGATAGGGGAGTACAAGGAAACAGTGGAGACTGTATTAGCCAGCATGACAAGCAGTGGTTTCAGCATGCCAGCAGACTAATTGTCAAATGTTTTGTAGGCATCACAGGAAAGGGCAGTTTTAAGGAGGGTTTTAAGCCCTTATAGGGTGGGGCCTAGTGTGATGGCATGTAGGTCACCCCAGTGTGCCCCTTTCAGTTAGGCATGGTGCCACAGGTCAGTCCCACCTGACTTCCATTCATCTGGGATATAAGCAAGTCCAGACAGAGCTTTTAGTCAAAGTGCCCCCCTTTCTAGGGATCCCGTTTATTAATAAAAGCCATAAGCATAAATAGCCCCTTACTTAGAGATACCTTGGGCATGCATCCTCTCTGGCTCCTTCCTTCAGGACAATGGGTTCAAATACAGCAATAGCAGATTTAGATTAAATCTCAGGAAATCTTCTGAACTGTAAGAACAGTGGGACAATGGAACAGACGCCTCGGGAGGCTGTGGAAGCTCCTTCACTGGAGGTTTGCAAAAGGAGGCTGGATAGCCATCTGCCTTGGATGGTCTAGACCAGTGGTCTCCAAAGTGGGGTGTGCAAGACGATCGATTTGGGGGCGCAGCAGGAGGAGCGCCACCGGAGCAAAAGGGCTGCATGGCAGGAGGAGCACTGCCGGAGGGAAAAAAAAAATGGGGGTGGGGGAAGTCCTGAGTCCTCCGGCCCTTGGAGGAGCAGTAGCAGCCTCGCAGCCGGCAGCCGGAAAGAAGCGGCACTTTCCCCTTCAAAGCCGGCCGGAGAGAAGTGGCGCTTTGAAGGGGAAAGCGCTATTTCTCTCTGGCTGCGCGGCTGCCTCTGCTCCTCCTGAGTCCTCCAGCCCGTGCTCGCAGGACCGCATTCCTAAAGGAGCTTTAGAGCTGCAGGCCAAGGCCCCGGGGGCCCCTTAGCCCAGGGCCCTGAAGCCCCTAAAGCCCCTGCATTCTGGGTGGCCCTGCCTGCCGTTGCGGGGGGGGGACGGCTCCCAGAATCACAGCTCCCAGAACCATGGCCATGGGAGTGGTGCTGCGCTGCGCAGAGCCCTCTGCACCCCCCCTGCACCAAACAGGAGCTGCCCCAGGTTAGTGCACTGCACCTCCTGCCTGCCCCAGCCCTGAGCGCCCTCCCACTCCCTAACTCCCTCCCAGACCCCGCACCCTACCCTGAGTGCCTGCTGTATCACAAAGTGTTAAACCACAATTTTCAAAAATAATAAAGCATATTCCATCACATTGCTCTCACTAAAATATTATTATTAATAATAATTTTTTTAGTGAGAGCAAAAAGGTTTTTTGTACCATTAATAAATAAAATAAATAATTATTTTAAAAATATTGTTTATTTCATCTTTATCTCATCATTTTTTAATTTCTATTTTTTGTGTATATTTTATAATTTACATAATATATTAGTACAGTCGTACATGTATATAATTTATACATAAACATATATTGGGGGTGCATGCTCAAAAATATTTTACTGATAGGGGTGCGTGATCAAAAAAGTTTGGAGACCACTGGTCTAGACACAACAAAGCCTGCATCTTGGCAGGGGTTAAATCTGATGACCCTTGCGGTCCCTTCTAACCCTGTGGTTCTTCCCCGCACCTGAAAACGGTCTCTGTTTCTGGATTACTCCTCTGGATTACTCCCCTTCAGATCTTTATGCAGGAGTCTCTACCACTCTGGAACTGGGTTGTATTAATTAGTCCCTCACTCTCTCCTTAAACAGGAGTCTCTCCAGCTCTTCTCCCTGGAGCTGAGTTCTGTTGATCAGATTATTTAATTCTTCTTAAACAGGAATCGTCAGATCTCCTCACTGGAGCTGAGTTATGGGTTAACCAGCTGTAGGGCTTTTACAGCTTCTTCCTCTGCTGATCCCTTGTCCTTAATCAGACTACTCAGCAGGCCAGGTTTTCCCCACTGGGAGCTCCTTGTGTCTGCCCGGTCATGAGGGAGGATGTCGCATTTATGTTGGTCCCTGTCCCCCAGCTCATCCCCAACTGGCTGGGGGAGAGGAGAGCCTTGCCCACCCCCTCTGCCAATCTCTTGGCCCTGGGCCCCTTAAAGAAACAGTAAGAGGATTTTTCCCCAAACGCTTCTTTCTCCCAGGTCTGCTTCCTTGCTCCCCAGTATCTCCCAGGCCCTTGCATATATAATTACCAGAGATCAGGATGAGCCTCATTCTGGCCACCTTCAGGCAAAATGCAAAGACCGTATTTTTGTACAAACCATCCCCTCAATTTATGGAAGAAAAGATGATGATGATAGGAAGGATGATGCAGAGGTTAGGGTGTTATTTTGGGATTCAGGAGACATTAGTTCCATTGCCTGCTCTGCCACAGACTTCCAGTGTGGCTCTGGGCAAGTCCCTTAGCCTCTCTGTTCCTCAGTTCCCCATCTATAAAATGTGGTACTTCTCTAACTCACAGGGGTGTTGTGAGGATAAATACATTAAAGATTGTGAGGTGCTCAGATATTATGGTAAAGGGGATAATATAAGTATCTTGGATTGACTGAAGAAGATCGTGATCCAATAACAGTTGAAGCAGAGCATTTAATATCAAAGTAGACATCTGTATTTGTAACAAAAATGTCTAAATAAGCAGTGCCTGCTTTGTAGTTTATTCCTGGTTTAGCCAGAGTGTCAGATGGAAGGAGCATGGGAAATAGGCCTACCAATGTTCCTGAGAAAATACTCTGTGATCCAGAGCTGGTGTTCTGAATTAGTCAAATCAAGGCAAGTGAGGTTGGTCTTCTAGCTCTCTGGATTTTGTTAAGACTTCAATAGCTCAGACATAGGTGAGAGGTTTATCGCAGGAGTGGGTGGGTGAGATTCTGTGGCCTGCGTTGTGCAGGAGGTCAGACAAGATGATCATAATGGTCCCTTCTGACCTTAATATCTATGAGTCTATGAAAAATGTGTGACAGATTTCATGGTGACACTACAAATCTCTTTTAAGTCAGTTTTTGTATGATCCAGTTTTAATGAACCAATATTTTTGGCTGCTGTGTAGACTTCCAGTTACTGTCACTGTTAGAATCAATCTAGCTGCCAGTCACAACAATTGAGCAAGTGTCATGGAGGTGCAGATGGTATTCTGTTCTACTAACTGAGTATGAAATAGGGCCATTTGTACTTCTCAGGTGTGTGGAGAAGCTGTTACCCGTTCAGTAGGCTGGTAAACATCCTTCCGCTAATTAACTGTTACAGAACATGTCTGCCACTTATGGAGGAAATCACTCAAAGCATCACAATTACAGCAGCAGAAATCAGATTTTCGGCATCCCATACGGAACAGTCATCTTGGCATGAGAAAGGAGCGATAAAAGATTTTATACAGAGCTTCCATGTGATATGCGGAAGCTGAGAGGGATGTAATTGATATGAAGATGACTCTCCATAATATGTTGGAGATGTAGAAATCAGCTTCTCTCCTCCATGTGTAAGCTATGTAGAGGGGAGGTAAGTCAATTTGCTTACCAATTCTGTGCTGCAGACCGTGCACAGACCTTGAATTCCTATCCTTGCAAGAGACCACAGCTGGATTTTCTGTAGGAACTTTTCAAATACTAAAAGTGGAAATTATAATCGGATTCTTTTTTTCCCCTCTGCTTAGGAATCCTGTACCAGTCTTTACCATAAGACAGTTACGCGTGCACACACAACTAATGATTTCAGATTCCTTTTTATGAATAGCACTCCAAAGAGAAAACCTTTCAGCACAGAGATAAAACCTTTCAGCGTTGAGATCCACCCCTAAGATCAGTCTGGGTAACTGCTGCCTGCTGTATCTTCTCCCTGCAGGGCTGGACTGGATCTCACTAGTGTTCACAATGGCTGCCAGTTTTGTACCCCTGCCAGAACTCACTACTGATAAGGTGGGGGGAGGTGGTGGGAATGTGTGTTCATGTAGGAATGTCTGCCCTTAATAAAGCCTTCCACACAAGCTTCAAAACAGCTACCGAGCATGGTTAACAACTTCCTGCCCACCCTTTAGTGTGCTAAAATGGCAACTACTTTGCAGTCACTGAAGGCTCTGTATTGTCACCTAGTCTGGGAATGCTCCCCTATCTCAGAGCAAGTAGAAACAGCAGCTGTAATTACTGCAATAAGTGGTTTTGCCTGAACACCTTGAAATAAGAAAAAGAAATGGGGTTTATGTAAGCTTCTGGATATTGGGGTGGCAGCAGTGGTGGGGTTACCCACAATGTTAATAGAACATTGGGGTTCTGTTTCTATTTCACACAAATGTCTGTAACTGTAGGGGAAATGCTAGATGTTACTAGAAAAATAGTTTGTGACAAAATTTAACTTTTTTGCTGCCAGTGGGGGGTTACACCAGGGATGAACTCTGTCCAAATATATATAATTGTTTCTAGTAATGTATAGCTTTCCCCCTGTAATTCTAGATATTTGCCAATGAAATCATTGGAGTTACATCAAGGATGAATATGACCTGCTATTTTTCATATAAATTTTGTTTCTCAGCATTCTTCAAATATAAAATTTATTCTGTAAAGAATTCAGAGTCACTAGAGCAGAGGTCTGTATTACCTGGCCACCGAGTGGTAGCTGTATAAATTATGCTGATGAAATACAACTGTAAATTTGACATCTTTAGAGAACAGTGACATCTACTTTTAAACAATTGACAGCTTTCATTTAGGAGTGGCAGGCATTGGGGTACAAAGTTAAAATGGCTTAGTCCACAATTTTCAAAGGTGGATACTGATTTAGGTTGCCTCAATTTTGGCATGTCCAACTTGAGACATCCCAAATCATTGGCCACTTTTGAAAATTTGGCCTTTGGTGTCTAGCAGTGCATGGCAACGTGGCTCAGTTAGTCAATTAATAAACCTTCATTGTTTAGTCACTCTAATTCATTGATTGGAACACATCAGAAAGACACCCTCAAGTACAAAAGATATACATAAAACACAGTTATGAAGTCAGAAGTTGATTCAACTTCATCTTAGGAAGTGCTTTTTAAAGATATTAGAACATATTTACAAAGCTGAACATTATGGGCCAGATTCTCCCCTTGGGTATGTTGGTGCAAATCTGGAATAACTCCAGTGCTTTCAGTGACTGCTTCTAGTCTAGTCTATAAGGTTTTATATTAGCGTAGTATCAGTGGTATCTGGCCTCTTACTGCCAGATTAATTTGCGAGACTAACACCTTCTTTATTTGAAGCTAGATATTTCGCTGATTGAAAAAGCTTTCCCTGGGCTTTTTTGGTTTGTTTTGGAAATGTTGAATCAATGAGTGGTCATTAATTATTATTAGTGTTCTTGAGCAGCAGGCTGGAGGCATAGAATCCAGACCAGTTCTCCTTTCCCCGGAATGAAACCTGTGTCACAAGTGCTAACCAAACTTTGCTTTTCTCCTAGCGCATGCCCCGTTGGCACCTGTGATGGATGCACCTTCTACTTCATGTGGGAAAGTGCAGAAGCCTGTCCTTTGTGCACAGAGCATGACTACCATGAGATTGAGGGAGCTTGTAAAAAGGGATTTCAGGTAGAGGACTGATGCCTTTTAGTCAAATTGGATGAGTTGTGTAGGCTTGGGGGTGCTGTTAAACTGCCTGTGTAAGAGCCACAGGGCTAGATTGTGCCTGTACATCACATAGCCATGCTGCTCCAAGAGCAGACCAGGGAGAGATTCACAATTCATTCCTACTTCCTCTTTGCTCCCAGGAGAAGTTATCTGCTACTGGCCTTCTCCATTCGCAGATTACTAACCCTTCCCCATTCCAGATCTGCTCTTCTGACCACGTCAGAGGCAGGCTCCACCCATTCCCCTCTCTGTCATTCCCAATCTCTGCTAGCCTGTGTGAGGAGCAAGCATTGAGGATACAGCCTTTGTCCCCTCCCCGTGCCTGCAGCCATGATGCAGGGGAGTGCAGTTGGGTCTCATTCCAAAATTATTCTTACTGTTAAGTCGCAGGTTACTAGGCCAAGCCATTTTGGAGACATGGGCTAGATTCTGCCCTGCACGAGAACTCAGCCCAGCACAGGAGCAAGGGGTCGGGGCACTGGGGAGCCCTGTTACAGCTCCCTGGTAATTAGGGCTGTCCCAAGCCCCTGTGTAGTATAGAGTAGCTGCCACACTGCTCTAGGGGTATGTCTACACTGCAATCGGAGGCATGATTGCCGCTGATGTCGATATAGCTGCACTAGCTTTAGCTAGCACAGAAGACACAGGAGCATGGACTAGTCTGACCAGAACCAGGGTACGCGCTGTTGCAACAGTGCAGCCTTGCATCGTCTTCACTGCTATTTTTAGGGAGCAGGCTAGATTGGAGCTAGCATGGGTTAGCCTACCTGGGGTGCAGTCACACCTCTGATTGCAGTGTAGACATACCCTACGTTGCTCCACTGGGGTAGGGTCCTGGACGTCATAGCCAGACTACACCACACCTACTCCCTTTACCCTACATCTCTTCTCCCAACACACTCCTCTGTGCTGAATGAGGGGGGGCCATAGGCAGAGGACCTGACAGCAATACACTTGTGCCAGCAGGGATTTCTCCCAGGCATTTACAGCCGGTATACATCCCTGTAGTGTATGGAGAAAAGGTACTTAACCCAGTGGAGAATCTGGCCATGATACGATAAATACAATATTTTTTTGAAGTAAATAACACCTCTATTTTCAGTAATTTCTCTGCCTCGATAACATGTTGTTGCCTTAACCTCAAAATGTCCACAAACGTTCTCTACATTCACATCAACTTTTCTGTATTCTTTCTTATTTGTTTTTTTGAAAGGAAACCTTATATGTCTGGAATGAGCCAAAGCAATGCATGAAGGGGATTGCCTTGCCTGAGAAAAGGGTCAGCACCTGTGAAACCATGGACTTTTGGTTAAAAGTTGGAGCAGGTGTTGGTGCATTCACAGCTGTTCTGCTCGTAGCCTTAACCTGCTACTTCTGGAAGAAAAATCAGAAGTAAGTATTGTCCTGGAGGTGACATACAAAAATAAATCAAAAGCGTGATCCAGAGCTCATTGAAGTCACTAGAAAAACTCCCATGGATTCCACTGGACTTTGAAATCAAACCCTAAAGCAGTGTAGGAAATGTCATACCTAGTCAGTCCAGTGGTCCACTTAGTCCAATTTCCTGTCTCCAGTAGTGGCCATAATAGATGCTGCAGAGGAAGGTGCAAGATACCCTGAAGTAGGCAGTTGTGGGATAGCCATGAGAAGTTTCCTCCTAACCCCTGACAGAGGTTGGCTTAAGGCTGGAAGCAATAGAGATTGGTAAAGTCATAGATTTTAAGACCAAAATGGACCATTATGATCATCTAGTCTGACCTCCTTCATAATATAGGCCACAGAATTCTACACAGTGTTTCCTGAATCAAGCTTACAGTTTCTGCTTGGTCTTGAATGTATCTTTTAGAAAAAGTCTAAAAGAAAGTCTTTGATTTAAAGACTTCATAGGATGGAGTTTGTTCTCTTCTAGTCTGGAAAACAGGAAATGGATGAGTTGCTACTGCAGTTCTAGTCATGCTTTCTTACTTCTGGTTCTTAAAATATAACTTCAGATTCTTTATAAATGCTTAACAAATAACCCTGCGGAATAGCTGCAGATACTGTTCTGACCACCTGCACTGTTGCAGCTAGAATATGGGGTATTAAGAAAGTAACTGTCCAAGTTTGTACCTTTAGGTTGGAGTATAAATATTCCAAATTAGTGATGACAGCTAACTCGAAAGAGTGTGAGCTTCCAGCTGCTGACAGCTGTGCTATAATGGAAGGAGAAGACAACGAAGAGGAAATAGTATATTCAAATAAACAGTCATTGCTGGGAAAGCTCAAGTCATTGGCAACAAAGGTGAGAATTAAAATTATTATTTTTTATTGACACTGATGTAGCACGGTTAGTTTAATGTGGCTAATTAGCTCATTTTATCATTTAGTTGGGTTACTGTTGTGGTTATGTTATTTCCTATGCATTACTGTGTGATGAATAGATAGAAGTAGGACAGGATTATACGAATATAAATTTGACAAGTATTTAGGAGTGACAAGTGTGTATTAGGTATACAAGTAAGATAAGGCAGTAATGCAAGACGTACAGGCTAAGGGCTGAAAGATTTCAGATTAGCCACACTAGGCCTCAGGCTTAAGAAGACTTGACACGAGTGGGCGACCTAAGATTGACTTTATGCCTGTAGGGTTACCTGCTCCTAAGGGCATTCTGCACCAAAATATTAAAAATTCTGCACCAAAAAATTAAAAATTCTGCACACATTTTAAAATTCTGCAAGTTTTATTTGTCATTAAATAAATGCAGAGGTTCCAGCATGACAGTGGGGAGCACAGGCTTCAGGCTGCACGAAGGTGGGAGATCACTTTGCAGCCCCTCCACCACCCACCCCGGGACATGGACTGAGTGGTGAGCCTGCACACTGTCCCGACACCACAAGGCCTGGACCTGCCCCAGAAACACCCTGTGGCCCTGCCCCTCTGCACCAGGTACATCAGGTGTGGGGCAGGCAGGCTCAACCAGGCAGGATCCAAGTGTGAAGTGGCTCAGTGTGGGGGGATTCAGGTGTGGAGTGAGAGGGTTCTGTGTGGGAAAATCTGGGTGCAGGCAGCTCAGTCGGGGGTATAGATCGGGGGGGGAATCTGGATGCACAGAGGGGGGAAGTGCGGGGGGGGGGAAGTGCATTGGGGGGAAGTGCAGGGGCAATGGGACTCTGCAGGGGCTTCCAGGTGAAGGTGGTTGGGGCTCAGCGGAGGTGTCTGTGTGGAGTCTAAGCAGGAGAGCTGGGGGAGTGGGGCTTAGTGGGGTGGGGGTCTGGGTGCAGCTAGTTGGGGGTCAGTGGTATGGGGCTCTGGATGTGGAGGCTCAGAGTGGTGCAGGGGGGGGTGGGGCTCGTCAGTGTGGAGGTTTGAGCATAGGCACCATCTTTAAGAGTTACCCCACTCTGCCCTCATTCAACGCCTTCCCCCAAGACCTCCATGCCCCACTTCTTCCCGCCCTTGCTCCTTCCCCTCCTCCCCAGCACCTCCTGCATGCTATTGAACAGCTGAACCATGGTAGATGGGAGGTGCTGGGGGGAGGGAGAGGCACTGCTTTGCGGGGCTGCCGGTGAGTGCTGCGCACCCACTATATTTTTTCCGTGGGTGCTCCAACCCTAGAGTATCCATGGATTCGGCATCTATGGGTTTGAGTGCAGGGAGCTCATTGGGGGTGGTTTGGGTGCAGGGGTGGGGATTTGAAGGCGGGGGGTCTGGGTGCAGGGGGGGCTCCAGATGCAGGGGTTGAGGTTCAGTGGGGTAGGGTTTGGATATGGAGGGGTAGGGAGGTTCTGGGTATACGGGGTGAAGCTTGGCGAGGGTGTCTGGGTATGGGAGGTCTAGATGCATGGAGGTTGGGCAGATGGGGGAGCAGCTCCCCATACAATGACCCCTTCCCCCGCAGCTGAGGAGCGATGGGAGCAGGAAGCAGGGGAGGATGCTGAGATTCTTGCAGCTGGGGGAGGTTTCTGGGGGTGGGTCTGACACAGCCGCAGCCACTCCTTGCAGGGGAAGAGGAAGTCCCATCCTCTCCTGCCTCCAGCCCAGCTGGGACTAGCAGCTGATCCCAGCTCAGGGTAGGTGCCACTGTCTGGGGTGTCCCCAGCCTCATGGTGATTTACCTCTGTGCCGGCTGCTCTGGGTGCCTGCACTGCTAGGGAGTGCTGCGTGACTGCTTTTGCAGCTTCCCTGTCAGTAAGTAATTTTTCTGCAGGGAAGCAAAGAAATCTGCAGGGGACATGAATTCTGCGCACGCACAGTGACACAGAATTCCCCCAGGAGTAAAGGTTACAAGATTACTGTTCTGGTGATGTTCCAGAAAAAGAGACCAAAGTGTGCCCATCTAGACAGCAAGGCACCTGACCACAGGTCACCATGGAAACATGTTTACATAAATGCTAATGAGAATAAGGGAAACTCAGAGAACAACCTGTGTAAAGCAGAGCACCCCAAAATGGATGGGGTGTGGAAGTACAGATAAGTAAAAGAAGTTGGAACCTTCATGCATAAGCATAAAGTGTTAAGCTTGGTCAGAACAACAAGATAAAAGGGGTTGGTTGGTATGGATAGGGTGGGAAGACCCTGAGGGAAGACTTCATTGTGATGACCCCAGCAAGAACCACTCCTCTATTGATGACCACCTGTTGAAAGATCCATCAAACTCTGTAATATCTTTGGATATGTGAGTATGAATACAGCATTAGAGAGTGCATGGGATTTCTTAGGTTTTTATATATTTGTTTGTGATTGTAACTTTATAAGTTACAAGTAAAAAATCTTGTTTGTGGTCCCTGTATTTGATCTTCTGTGCTCCTAAGAGTCCCCCAATCTAATTGATCAGAAAACTGTAGCACCACAGGAGCCGAACTCACTTCCTAGGGACACGACAGTTTAACACAGAGCTCTTCGTTCAATTTTAAAAAGAGGCTACACTAACTAACCTGCAAACGCACACATCTATAGATTCACCGGGCTTCTTTAGTGTCAATGGCACTGAGTTGCAGGATTCTCTCTTGCCCAGAGAACTTATAACATGGATCTTCAGAGTATGGACAACAACTGAAAAGAGTTTGTCTAATGGACACCTCACACAGGTCACCTCTCATTGCTGATTAAACATCATTACAGGGGCTTCCATAGGAATTGCTTACGGGGAAAATTAACATTCTGAAGGCACCAAATGTCTAGCTAGCTCTCCATGGTTTATCTGTAAGTGCTCTGTAGACCACTGGAAGTCCATAGACCACAGTTTCAGAACGTGGGCTTCCAACTATACATGCACATCTGCAAATGCTTGGTGTAGCGCTTACTGCCCTGATAAATCCCAGCCATTTCAAGGGAGAGCACAGTAGTAAGCGGTAGTGTTTGCAGGATGGGGCCCTAAATTAGACATAGCCAAAAAAACACAAGCCAAAGAAGAGGGAGGGTTGGGAGATTCTAAGGGTCTGAGCTTGCAAGTACTTGCAAGTCCTTTTCCAAAGGCTCAAAGACATCCACTGCTTCAAAGTGGTTCAGGCCAATAGTGCTGAGTACAACTGGTTGAAACTTTTCATTTGAAACTCTTTTTTTCTTCTGAAAAATGGCTTTTTTTAAACTGAAAAGTTTCACAAAAAGCGTTGTGTTTTCAAAATTGTCCAGTTTTTCATCAAAACCCCAAATTTCAAATGTTCAGATTTATGGGGTTTTTGCCTTTCTTGTCTCTGATTTTCCTATTTGCCACTGAATGTGACAGAATGAATGATGTGTAGGGGTATCGCCTCCTGCCCCCCTTCTTTTCTTTTTCTCCATTTTAATTTTTTCCCTTCTGCAACTTTCCTGTATCTTAAACTTTGGAAAAATTAGAAGGGCCAGATGAAAAAGTGTGTTTGTGGGGCGGGGAGGGAAGGAACCCCGCATTTGGACATCATTCATTTTATTGTAGTGAGTGGCAAGAAGGAAAAAAGGGAATGAGAATATAGCATATTGAAAATTCAAAATTTCAAAAATGTGATTTTTTTTTTAAAAAAAAAGCAAAATATTCCCTCGCTTGCTCCCTCCAAAAAAGATTCCCTCCCCCCATTTTGAACCTTGCAAAAAAGAAAATGTCTCAGAAGTGTTGATTTTGTGAAAGCTCTCTGCTGCTGAGTGTAGTGAACATTGCTGACTACCTCTGCTGCTGAACATAGTGTTTACTACCATGAATAGTCCTGATGAGTTTAAAGGCTTGTTTGATGAAGTGTGCAGAGCTGGGCCTGTAATGATTAGAAGAAGAGAGGAAGGATTGCTGGAAGAAATAGGTTTCATAGTTCAAAAGTAAGCTTAGTGCTTAATATTAAGAGTAGCGATCACTTGCACACCTGCGCACTGTTTTCAAACAGACTATTCTTAACTCAAGTTCCTATGTTCATTTTAACGGGCTTCCCTGCACATTGTTACCTTTTCAAATAAGCCTGTCAGATATCTCTGGCTTTTTTTTTCTTCCATCTGCTGGATAATCAGAGCTGCCAAACTCAGCCTCCAGGACCTCATTAGCTTACTCAAGTCTGCATCCTATATCCCTGCAGATAACTGGGATTTAGTATATATTTTTTCAGAACACATGTGATAGGCATCATTCTTCATTAATGCAAAAGATGAGAAGTATAACTTCTTTTAAAAAAACACAGAGAAAAGAGAGAGTAAAAAATATGGGGGACATGGACAATGTAAAGATTTAACAACAGAGAGAGAGAGAGAAAAAAATCAGAAATACATAAAAGGATCAGACCCGAAGTGATTACTTTTCTGTGTTCCAAAACTTCTCATGAAGTTACTGAGAGCTTTGACTAGATAAGAAATGCAGAGCTGAGCCCCTAATGTAAAAAAAGGAAACATATTTATTTGCAGTATTATTGTTATAACAACCCAGAATGTAGGAATTGCTGTGCTGGATCAGGCTGGGTGGTGCAGGAAACCCTGCAGTAGGCAACTCTGGGAAAATCTGACCCCGCACACGCATTAGGTCTCATCGTAATAGTTAGAGATTGATTTAAACCCCAAAGCGTGAGTTTAGTTTCATATCTCTTTCCAAAATATTTGTTAGCATTAAGTAGCATAGTTGTAGATTTGCTTGCCTTCCATATACAGGTCCACTCCCTTTTTTAAACAAGGTCTGTATCGTAGTACACCAAGAAAAGTTTGGTATTTGTATTAGCATTCTGAAGGCATAATTTAATCAATGTGTTAAGCTTCTACAGTTGCAGGAGTCTCAACCTTTTCCCACCAATAACCTCAAAACCACCTGCCTTTTTTCTTCTCTCCAGTATCCTGGAGTTCTTGTCCTCAGCAACCTTCTGTGGCAATGAGATCCACAGTCTAATTACACATAGGTTGAAAACATATTTCCTCATCAGTTTTGAGTCTGCTACTTTTTACATTAATGACTCTTTTCGCTCCAGCTAGAATCATCTACAATGTTGTCAGTAAAATGCTCTGCATGAGAATCAACTTGGGTGTACTCACAAGGGGTACATTATAGGGCAGGCTAGAAAACAACAATTCCACTTCAGGAAAAAATTTGAGGTTTTGAAATTTGTTTTTATTCTGTGGAACTTTTTTTTTTAAACAAACGAGAGATTTTGATGTGCCACAGAATAGCTAACGTCCTGGTGGGTAGGGCACTCACCCAGGATGTGGGAGACCCAGCTTTGAATCCTTCCTTTGCAAGAAGGACTTGAACCTGGGTTTCCCATATTTCAGGTAAGTGCCCTAACCACTGAGCTGCAGAGTCAGTCTCGTTTGTTGGCCCAGTGAATATTAAAGTATTTATACATTTGGAACAGCTCCAGCAGGAGAAATTGAACTAGAAACTGACTCTGCAGGCTGGTGGCTAGTGCACTCACCTAGATTTGGAGCAGGGACTTGCACCTGGGTTTCCCACATCTCAGCTGAGTGCCCTCTCTCACTTGTTTTTCATGACAAATTTCCAAAAGTCACTGGTTCCTCCTGGTGCAGAAAGGAAATTATTTTGAAATCTCAAAAATTTTCAGTGGACTGGAAAAGCATTTCCCACCCAGCTCTAGTTAAATCCCCAATTAAGCAAAACACATAAACATGGGAATAGTCCCATTTGAGGCCCCGATCCTGCAAACACTTACGTGCTTAACTTCATTACTGTGAGTAGTCCCAATAAAATCAAAGTGATTGCTCACTGTAGTAAGTTAAATGCATGGGTTAAGTGTTTGGAGAATTGGTGCCTTAGGGCATATCTGTACGTACAGAGCTGTGCTGGGGGGCACAGCTGTACCGATGCAGGTGCGCTACCCATCAGCACGATAAAACCACCTCCACAAATGGCAGAAGCGATGACATAGCGCTGTGCCCACGAGTGCTTATATCGGTGTAACTTATGTTGCTTGGGGGGTGGTTTAGTCACATCCCTGAGTGACATAAGTTATGCTGACATAAACTGTAGTGTAGACACAGCCTTAGTGAAGGGGGAGGCGATTCACAGTCTGAAAGGTCAACACGTGTTAAATGCTCTGCTGAACTAAGGCCTAAGTGAGTTGGTTAAGGGTACCGAAGGAATCAGTGTCAGGGTTCAGGAGTTTCTCACTCTTAGTTCTTTGCTCAAACTGCTCTCACTCTTGAATATTTTGTATTTTTTTTACAGTAATGCATCATAATTTCTTTGTAATTCTATCATAAAATCCATAACCTTGACTGTGAAAAATATGCCATTTGGTGGACATATCTATATACTTCCAGTAAAGGAAACACTAAAAAATTCATATCCTTTCTACCTCACAATGGAATTTTGAAGTGTGTGCAATTTTTATTTTTAATTTATAGAGATGTTACAATTAGTTTGAAATTAAAGGCCAAATTCTACTCTCATTTACTGTGGCACAATCTCAGTAAAGTCTTCAACAGGAGTTGCACTCGAGTTACTGAGAGTAGAAATTTGTTCCATGACTTTTTATACTGAGTGAAGAGATGTTAGAACACTTCAGAGTGAATTTGAGAAATCATGAGTGACGGGAACTTGTCTCTTTACATTGCAGGAAAAACAAGATTGTTTTGAATCTGTTCAACTGAAATCTTCAAGATCACAAAATATATGAGGATTAAATGCTACCTTCAAAGAAACAAACCTGATTTCTATTTTTACAGGACCACATTTTAAACATATTCCTGCAGACAGCAGAATAATGATTGCAGTGAGAAATGCTGAGCCATTTAAGCAAAAAGAGGGTGGAAATCAAAACAAAAGATTGGATTGCCTTATTCTGTGGTCAAGTACCTTGCCAAAAACAAGAAGCAGACTGCTTGGATTCCAAACTAGGAATGAAGCTTAACTCAGGAAGAGATATACATACTGCAACTGACATCAGTTTTGTATTCACCTGTGCATTGCTCAGGCCTGCTGTGTGATTTATTGGTACCTTTCAGTGCATAATCACGTTGTCCATATGCATTGTAAGAACTGATTTTCTGAGAGATTCAAAACTTTCTGCAAAGGTTCTGTACTGTCCTTTTTGTAGCCTAACTTCCAGTCTCTCTTAAAATCAAAATGGGGAATGGTACTTGAAACAGAATCATGGATGACTTTTGATCCTTGGATAAAATAATGCTTTTAGGGTTAAGGGCTGGATGGCCTGCAACAGCCTTTAGTGAGGCAGGGCCAATTTTGCACCCATGGATCAAACCCACTTAGATGCCAATGTGATGACCATCTGGGTTGGCTTGAACTTGGCACTCCTGAATTTAAGACTATATCTATACCTACAGCTAAGGGTGTGATTTCCAGCTTGTGTCAACATTCTCGCATCTGTTGTCATCAATCTAGCACGCTAAGAATCGTAGTGTAGCCATGGTAACATAGGCAGCGGCCACGTGGGCAAGCTGTGCCGAGTATGTACCCACAGGGTTCTGGTGGATTTGTACTCAGGGTGGCTAGCCCAGGCCACCGCTTGGCACTGCCCATGCTACTGTGGCTACACTACTGTCTTCAGTGTACTGGTTTGAGAGCTACGCGAGCTGAGAGTCACATCCGCACCTCCAAGTGCAGACATACCCTAAATGGGTGTGCTGCCAGTACCTGAGTTGAAAGATCAGATCCGTCCATTTAGAAGCCGCAGGAGCGCTCATAAATCTTTTTACATGGTCCAGACACTAGAGGGGGGCAAAGATCCATAATGTGAATTATGCTTTCTCCCTGCCTGGCAAAGCTTGTCCTGAGCATCGGAGGTTGACAGCAGTTCGAGTTGTCATTTGTGTGACAACCCCCTGGGATCAGCATCTGTAGGGATTGAATCCTGGACCCTTTCAGGGCGGGGGAACCACAAGCTTCTTGTGTCTAAGCTAACCGAGCCAATTTGCAGTTGAGAGGCAGTATCAGACTCTTTAGCCTGTATTAGAGTAGCAGCCGTGTTAGTCTGTATTCGCGAAAAGAAAAGGAGGACTTGTGGCACCTTAGAAATTTTATAAATTTGTTAGTCTCTAAGGTGCCACAAGTACTCCTTTTCTTTTAGCCTGTATGTGGTCTAAAAAGGGACAAGGACCCCCCTGCAGGTATTAATGTTGGTTACACCATCATGTATCTTAGTATACAAATGGGTTCTACTGTCGATGCAAGTTATTGTATATTTAAAGGAGGGCACAAAAAGGTGCTTTGCATATTGAAGGCTGGCCTGAGATTCTTTTTCAGGGCCTAAAAATCTCTGACTTAAGCAACCGCGTTAAAAGTATGTGATCTTCCTAATATCCAGTCTATGAAAAACTGTAATTTCCTGAAATTCAGTGCAAGTTGAACTGAAAATAATCTGCTAAAATGTGGGTATAAAATTGTTGATGAAAATTATGAAGGAAAGAGTTGCGTAAAGCTAGGAAGAAATGAGGCTCCAATCTTGTCACTCTAATCAGACCTATATCTGCATCACAATAAAATGCCTGAATTGTGAAATGCATATAAAACTTTGGAAAAGACACAGGCAAAAATGGTGTTTTTACTATAAAGAATATATAGATTTGGGCTTTTGAATGACTCAGTTGCATCAACCAGTCTGAGAAGAGTCCACTTCTAAATTAAATCTAAGATGAAAACTGAATATTTTATTATACTATGAGATGTGGAAGGAGATTTTATGAAGATTAGAGCTTCTTTTTCTTGTTTAGAGAAATTTATTTCAATTATTTTATATATCCAGTTACAGAAACTGGGATCTGTTCTTCTGATTGGAGTTACTTTGGGTATCTCATCGGGGGTCGTGTTCATTTCTTTTTGTTGTTCTTGAAACAGCATTTCATTTTCCAGAAAGAAGGGATTTTTGTGAGGTATTGAACCATTTTTTGATGTTTTTGAATGTATATTAAATACAAGTTTCTTTTTTTGTATATTTTGTACTGTTGCCCATTCATTATCTTACATTGTATTTGTCGTCATCCTATCATTTGCACGTAGTCAACAATGGTAACATGCTCCCTAGCAAATGCCAATTGGGATTTTGAGATGTGTTCTTTGCTGATCTTTTATGAAGAGGATTTTTTTTTATGTCATTGAATTTTATTCAGATAGCGTGTTTTAGTGTCAAAGATTTTCAGCTGATGAGCATTTGTGCAGTGAAGTGAAAATATATTTGAACTGCGAATTTACAATCTTTGGAAGAACTGTAGCATGCATTACATTTGGCAGTGTTCTTCAGTGATGGGTGGAGCCATGGAGTGTTCCACCTTGCACAGAATTACATCTGTCACCACTGTTTTCATCTGTTGCTCTTATCTGCACCCGTTTCCCAAGCTATAGAGATATAAGTAGGATTACTTTCTAGGAACATCTTTTCTTCTTCTGCCGCTGGAGTCGTATCCCTGACACATTAAAATGCCTTAAATTTTAACAAACTACCTTTCAGTTTTATTAATACAAAGGAGGGGTTTTGTTATTTCCCAACCCCCCCAATGACTTTTTCAAATTAGATATTAAATAGCATTTTTTGTCGGCTCCTGCAGCCTTTGGTATATGACGCTTCTTACATGGGGTTCCAAATGATCTGTCATATTATTATAAGAAATTCTTCTGGGCACCCTGAAGGTTCACCTGGCTGAGCACGATGAGAAGCAGAAACCAACTAAGCCTATAGAATTGATGTAAGGCTAGTGTAAAGTATTGTAATGGAATTTTCCAGCCATAAATAAGTTTGTTCTGCTACCTTTTAGCTGAGTTTTGGCTGTTTCTCTTTTTCTTTCCCTAAAGATAGGCAAAAAGGCAGTTTCATGTTCCCACAAAAGGCACAGTTTTGAAGTCTTGAAACACTTCATTAAGCAAACGGTTGCCTGTGACATCTTGTGTTCTGCCCAAAGGTACTCACAGCAACCATCCCATCAGCAACGTCATGTGTGAATTTGTTATTCATAAACAAATGGCCATAAAAAAATGCAAAGCGCTCTGTTATGTGTTCAGTTGATTAAATGGGATACATTTTTATCACTGCAGTTGCCTGCTTTTCTTTTAAATCTGGATCCAAGCAACTGAATCTTTTCATGGGTTAAACACATTTACGTGACCTCGCTGTATAAATTATTGGCAAAGTAAGTATGGATGTGATTGCGTCTGCTCTGGTGCTGTTTTCTCAGAAAAACAAAAGCCTGCAGAGAATTTATCTGTAGTCAGCTTTGCTAAGTATACTGAGCCACATCCAAAGCTGGTGCAAATTGGGGCAGCACCACTGAACTCAATGGAGCTTCTCTGATTTACACCAGTAGAGGATCTGGCCCCAAAGGTTAAATCAGAATTTGACCTCCCCACCTTGGTTCTGACTACTTTTGTTGTTGTTTGTAGTATATTATATGATTGATTTGGAGTCCAAGCCTAGGAAAAATTAGATCTCTCAAGGCTTTCACTAGCAGCCATTGGGTAGTTGTAGGCAGCTGTTAGCCCTTCTAATAAAAGGAGGAGCTTCTATTGTTTACTGTTTAAAAGGAGACTCTGAGATTGGGGGCTTGTCAAGGAGTGTGTGGGAATTCTCGGTTTTCCTGTCCCAAGGGTGGGATGGCCGGAAGGATGGCAACAGACGTTGCCATACAGGAGCCATCTCCGTGTCCAACAAGGGCCAGTATCACCAGATGCTTCAGACTAAGATGCAAAACTCTCACAATGGATGAAGTTGCTTCTGAATCCCCGACTGTTCGGTTTTGGTTTATGTCCTGAAGCATGAGGGGGAAATCGCTCTTAAACTGTTGTGTCCCTGTAGTGTGACTATGAACGGTTTCATGAAATGTCTAATCCTACCAAGCCCTTTGCCTCAATGATATCACAAGGCAGTGAGTAATCACTTCATTCTGGGGGTTTAACCTCTTACAACTTTCTCCTTATTCGTAACCATTGGCCAATGTGTCCTCCTTAATGTCTTCCTTCAGCAAACAAGGAAATTGTGGTCCTTTTGAGGAGTAAGTGTGTAGGTCGGAGCAGAAGAAATCAGAGTCTTATTTGATGGCTCGTGTGATTGCTGCAGCTCCTCCTGGAATATGCTGGATCGGTGATGTGGTAAGATGGGATCACCAGTGACCTCACTGGCATGCTATTGGTCAAACAGCAGAGGTGGGGAAGGGCTGCAGTGATGATCACAAGCTTCTGCAGTGGTTTGTGCGGACCTCCAAGTGTTGAAGTTGAAACTGACAAAGGAGCAAACTGCAGAAGTGTGTGTACTGCCATAGGAAGACATTTTGGATCAGACTCATGGTCCATTAAAAAGGACTCTAAAGCCAAAATGAGGTGGGATGTGTGTGTGTCTGAGTTTCTGCAAAAACTCAGCCTGAGACACTCCCAGGTCATGGGGAACTTGAAACTGCATCTGGAATCTTTGTTGTACTACTGCAGCTATATGCTGATTATGTTGCTGCTGTTGTTTTAGTTTATTTGAGTTTTTGTTTAAACCCATTTATTTTGACTAATAAAAGTCTGTCAGACTCATAAAGCAACCAGCTCGAGTTGTGCCTGTCCTTCCAGCAAAGTCATCCAGCAAAAGGTGCCTTTTCTCCACACCCACTGTTCTCAAGTGACATCTACAGAGATAATGTCGACCTGGGGATAGTTGTACTGCAGCAGCACTCAGAAACCTGCAGATAAGAGTATGTTGCGTGCGTTTGATTTTCTGTGGGGCTTTTAGCAAGTGGATAGCTTGAGAATTTGAACCACACATGGAGCACTGTTGTGAAATCTGCAGGTCAGGCTTCACCACGCACTGCAATTCATCTCAAAGGCTGCCACTATTTTTCTCAGCTAATCACATAATATTAGATTTCTAAAATCTTTACTAGAATTTGACAGCTGGAGTTGGGAGAAGGGAATGGGCTTTGCTAATGTTGCTTCCTTGGGAATGGATTTGAAATAGCTGTATACTTGGAATCACTGGCCTTCATAGGTCAAAGTGCGGGGGCAAAGATAGCATGCTGTCTTTATGGATGGGCATGTTGCAGGCTTCATTGAAGTCAGTGGAAAGAATCCCATCGACATCAGTGAGCTTTGGATCAAAACTATTATCCAGCAGCATTAAGTGTGGATAGGGAATAACCAACTCTGACCCACCGTTTTGAAGACAGCCACCATTAGACACTGCATGAGGGTGTCATAAAAATCCATCTACGTTCAGATCAGTTAAGAAAGCATGGAACTGGTTCTCTTCTCACATATGCTGCACAGGTGCATTGACTCAATCCTGATTTACACTGGGATAAGAGAGATGGAGAATCTAGCCCTGTTATTCTATCATGTGAGTTCATAATGAATGTTGGTGCGTACGTAACACATTGGCACAGTGCGCGTTATTGCCCCCTCTAGTGGCTGGTCCACATGAGATGGTAAGAGGCTAGTGCTGCTGCCACCAGCTGATGGAATGACTCCCATCAGGTCCTGAGTTCAAACTCAGGCAGGGAATCGTTGCACAGACATAGGGGGTTTTTCATCCTGCAGGCTCTTGAATAGTACGGAGAGAAATTCACAGCAAAGCGAGCGCTTGTGTGTGATGCTGAGTCCTTTACAACGCTTAACAATCTGAGCAAATCTCACTCCCTGATCTGGAGTTAATTACCCAAACTCAGTATATCCCTCCTTGCTGTCCAGCATCCAGCTTTCAGCACTCGTGTCAATGATAACACTCAGCATTTATCTGAAGCATTTCACATGTTCAAATGGACATTTACTAATTAACAGATGATTTAACTGGGATTTGGTCCTGCTTCGAGCAGGGGGTTGGACTAGATGACCTTCTGGGGTCCCTTCCAACCCTTATATTCTATGATTCTATGATCCCGGAGAGGGAGAGGGGTTAATATTTTCATCCTCATGTTACAGATGGGGAAACTGAGCCAGAAATGTGAAGTGACAGCCTGTGAGGATTTGGGGAATCCATCTTTACAATTTAGGAATTCTGTGTGAGATTATGAACTTGCTGTATGTATCTTTACCAAGCTGCAAACTGCATTTTGAAAGGGCAGCTTTTTGACTTTTCTGTTGTCCTTTCACCTCCATGTAGGACCTAAATTGCAACAGGGTAGTAGTACAGGGCTGACAATAGATGATGGTTAACGCTGGAGTGGGCTCCCATTGAAATGGAACAGGTCTGAACACTAGATGGTTCCAGACAAGCAGAACTGGTTTGTCAGGGAAGAGGTCGCCTTGGCAACAGTCACTTGTCAGGGGTGGCTGGTCACCTGAGCAAGAAGTCACCTGATAGAGAGGGCTAAAAGTTATACAAGGACAGGAGCTGTGTAACTGAGGGGCCATTTTTATTTCAGCTAAAGAGGAGGGAGAAGAAACCCAGCATGTAGGGACCTTTGGGAACACAGTTGGTCCCCCAGGACTCCCAAGAGAAGGGCGAACTACTGAGGGCCATTGTGTTTAGGATGTTTATTACTTTCTAATTGATCTGTAGTCTCATGCTTTATCTCTTCAGTAAAAGGGCAATTGGGGAAGACTCTGGGCAGAGGGTCTTTGTATGTTGTGTACGTTACACTTACCAGAGGCCACCTGAGAAAGTTAAGTGGTAACCTAGAAGGCTCACACCTTTGGGTAGAGCTCTGGGAGAGGGTGTATTTAGGCTACAGGGAAGTCTGAAAGGCAAGCAATGAGCCCATGGGCTAGGCAGCTGGACAGCAGGTTGCTAGATGAGGGATCTGTGCCCTCACAGTGTGGCTCGTGACCCAATGCCGGGTCAGTGGCTGGACTCTGTTCAGGCTCAAAACGCTCTGGGAGCCAGAGGTGTGGATTCCTTCCCAACCAGTCTAGTCAGTGGCCACGAGGAGGTGCACAACTAGAACTATGACAGGTTTCAGAGTAACAGCCGTGTTAGTCTGTATTCGCAAAAAGAAAAGGAGGACTTGTGGCACCTTAGAGACTAACCAATTTATCTGAGCATAAGCTTTCGTGAGCTACAGCTCACTTCATCGGATGCATACTGTGGAAAATACAGAAGATGTTTTTATACACACAAACCATGAAAAAATGGGTGTTTATCACTACAAAAGGTTTTCTCTCCCCCCACCCCACTCTCCTGCTGGTAATAGCTTATGTAAAGTGATCACTCTCCTTACAATGTGTATGATAATCAAGTTGGGCCATTTCCAGCACAAATCCAGGTTTTCTCCCCACCCCCCCACACAAACCCACTCTCCTGTTGGTAATAGCTTATCTAGAACTATGACGTCCTAAATCAGTGATGGAGGAATGCTGAATTCACATGGAGAGTAAGACTTTGTGAGAATGTGGATCAAGCGTTTCACTATAATCCAGATGAGTTATCACTCCTCCGTTTCAATTGGCCACCAGTTCTGGAATGAAAACCAGCCCCTTGGCTCCAAAAGCTCAGCATCTCAACCTCCTGAGCTAAAGAAACAGCTGCATTACCAGGCAGATGGGGAGTGTGAAGGGACACACCCTCCCACTGGCCGGGCGGCTAATGAGCTTCTCTGGGCCTGTGCTGCACTAACGAGGCACACCTGCATGGCTTGTTCAACATGGAGGAGGAAGGGCTTAAAAAGGGAAACTTACCATAGGAATGGGTGATGACCAGGAAGAAGGCTGCCACTAACAGAGGCAGACAGCCATAGAACACACTGTTTCCAGAGCCGCCCCGGGAAGAAGAGTAAGAGGTAAACCACGCAAAGGCGCAATAGACTTTGAGAGATGGAGCCTGTAAAGCTGTATCCAGGGGCTGTCTGAGAGGCTGACCCTCTTCCTCCTCTCCTGCGAGGGGAGGGGAGGAAGAAGAACCAGGCCCCTCAGCCCCTGAGAATTCTCCAAGTGCAGCCGCTGGCAGAGTACAGAGGGTAAGTGATGGGACAGTGAGTCCTAGGGGGGCACTAGGAAGTCCTGCACCCTCCTACAGGGAGCTTATAAACCAGGGGTGACCAAACTGTGGCTCATGAGTCACCTGCAGCTCTTTTATAGTAAAGTGCGGCTCTTGGCACCACCCCCCTGCCCTCCTCATTCTCTGCCTACCAGACTGCGGGGAGGTCGTGGAGGTAGGTGCTTCTTCCAGAGAAGACTAGCGCCTGCTCTGAGTGGGGGGCACAACTTAAAGGTTCGGCTCCTCCAACAGCTTGAGTTATGTCCCCCCAGGCACACTCCCCCTCTTTCTCTCAGTAGCCCCTCCCTGTAGTCACAAACAGCTGGGAGCTGCAGGGAGGGGCCCCTGCTTTAGCTCTGTGGTGAGAGGCAGCAGCTCTCCCTACAGCTCCCAGCTGTTTGCTGCTGCCTCTCCCAAGGACTGCAGCTCCCAGCATGCCAGCTCCAGCAGTTCCCATGGAGGGATGGGGCCTGGCGGCACCATGTGACAGAGCCAGCAAACCCTGGCAAAAATGGGGGGGGGGAGAGTCATGTGAGCCCCCCCCCCCAGGTGCCTTCCCCTATGCATCACCTCTGGCAGCAGGGTGAGGGGAGGTCTCGGGGTTTCAGCCCCGGCTCTCGAACTTCTGAAGATTGTCATATGTGGCTTGGAGGGTCGGTAAGTTTGGCCACCCCTGTTATAAACACATGAATGGATCAGGTGTCTTCCGTTTGGCAGTGGGACTCATGTAGCCCTGCGTTTTCTGAAGTCTCTTGTGATTTTTGGGTGCGCAGCTTGAGAGATCTTAAAGGACTAATTTTGAAAGTGCTGGTGCTTAGCAGCCTTGGAAAAGCAGGTCCCGTTGTGGTAGCCCGAGTTAAGTGCCCAAAATTGCTGGACTAGATTGAAAATCAATGGAACCCCTCGTGGAGTAAGAACCTCTTTCACATTGAATAGTACATCAGAACCTGACCCTAAATACTTAAACCTCTCCATGTACAAGGTGCTGATGGGTCACTCCAAAGACTCGCAGTTCCAAAGAGAAATGGATTCTTCTGCCTCCCCCCCTCCACATCCCCTGCCCTTTCTGTATAAAAGCAGAGCGAGCTAGAGCCTCAGCTGGTTTCATTGAAGCCAATGGAGGTATGTCAGTTCACACCAGCTGAGGATCTCCATTGGCTTCAGTTACACCTATTAAGGAAATGGCCCCAAGTGTCTCTTCTGAACATTTGTTCTGGGTAGGCAAAAGTTTTGGAAGCCATTGGTGTTTGCAGCTGGCTCAGTCATACGTAAAAGTCTCCTGGCTGGCGTTAAAATTGTGCTGCTCTCTGAAACCTGTTGATCCTGGTGTTGAATGTATTTTTCCTGTGTTCGTCCTGAGTGCTTTAAGTTACTCTCATTTGGATGTCCAGGGAAGGTAGATCATGTGACACTTGCCGATGTTTGAAATAAACCAGTGGCAAAAGAAGAAAGGAAAATATCAAAGTTTGCTAGTACCTTTGCAGGCACTGCAGTAACACAGCATGAGAATCTGTGGGGCATGATTCAAACCAGACTTCAAAATGGGCTTTTGACTCTAGACTGCTACTCCGGTTCAATGAATACCTCTGGATATTGTCCTGTTACAGAAGACTCAAGATAGATTTTACTGTTTGGAAAAATCTTCTTACATTCTTGATAGTCCATATGCTGTAATTTCTTTACCTTTAAAGTGCCATGCTCAGGGGAGTGTGCTAATTTTCCTTGGCTCAAATCAAATTTATTTTGTACGTGATATTGGCCAGATTGCTAATTTGGAGAAACGACACGGGCAGCACTACTGTCAGGTCTGTGCAGTGTCTGTCAGGACTTCTCTTAACTCTGCTTTAGCAAGTACTATTGATTCCATTACTAAATTGAATCCTGCTTGTTTAATTCCATTTCATTTCACTGGAGGGGAAAGAGAAAGAATTACAGCTAAGGAGCCAGACACCAGGTTTTTTGAGTTGTTGTTATTATTTATTATTAAATGCACATTGCACCAACAAATGTGCTAGACAATTTAAAGTGTTATGAAGAAAAGGGGCCTGATTCTCATTGATGCTAAGACTCAGACACTCAGTATCATAGAATATCAGGGTTGGAAGGGACCTCAGGAGGTCTTCTAGTCCAACCCCCTGCTCAAAGCAGGGCCAATCCCCAATTTTTGCCCCAGATCCCTAAATGGCCCCCTCAAGGATTGAACTCACAACCCTGGGTTTAGCAGGCCAATGCTCAAACCACTGAGCTATTCCTCCATGTGAAAGGGGCCTTAGTATCAGTCAGAATCTGCCCCAGAAGAAGAATTTACCCAAGGAAGGCAAGGAAATGTGTCAAAAAAACTCTGGCTGTCAGCCTCAGGTGGCTGGGGCTCATGCAGAAGGGCCGTGCACACCTAGGAGGCAGAGATAAAAGGGACAGCTGGAGCCCTGCCAGGGGCTGATCAAATAAGTTTGAGAACCGCTGCCTTAGACAGATTTGAATGTTTCAAGCACAATGTCCAAATACAAGAAGGGAACTGGGAAGCAAGGCAAAGCCCCACGTGTGATTGAATGGGGATGTTTAGCACATGCCTCCTTCGTTCCACAATTTCCTGGTTTGTTTTCTAGTAAATATTTTCAAACATCTGCATAGCCAAAAATTCTATGAAGCAAGGCTTACTACCTGCCAGAGGAAGTGTGTTTTAAAGGGAGGCATAAGAAATTGTGGCATGATAGACAAGGAGAGATGGCTTGATCAATGTCCCATAGGAGAATGGAGATCTGAGGCCTGATTCTTGTTTACTTTAAGGACCTGTACACTGTTGGAGCCATGTGTGTTAATGAGACTCCGGCTCTGGAGAGTTTACACATTCAGCATACCTTGAATTACACCTGTCTTTAACTCCAATGTTTCAAACCCCATAGGTGCTTACGCTGAAGTCAATGGAAACTTTGCCAATGACTTCAGTGGGAGCAAGTCCTTAGCTAATATATGTTTACTTTTCTGAATGATTTATTGGAGTTAGTAGCATGTAAGATGTGAGTGTTTTAATAGAAGGGGAGGGACTTTGGAACAAGGTTCTAAAGGTTACATTATTTGCTTTGTTGAAGGTAGTTTGCAGCTGGCTTCAGAAGCTGTAGATTTCTATTTTGAATACAGATAGTTTGAATGCAAATATTGCCATAGAGATGCCACAATTTTTTTCTGGATTATCTTTCTTGTGAATATATTTTACAGGCCACATTCTCGTATGCTCCAGCTGCTTTGCACTGCGCCAGTGATGCAAAGCAGCTGTAAACCCAGTTTAACTGGCGGACTTAACGGGCTGTATAGCACCTTCATGTCACCAGATCAATACAAAGCAGCCATAGTATATATGTAGTCTTGTTTTGTCTTTTTTTTTAATTTAATCTGTCTAGATTTTTATACTGCATCAAGGTATTTTGAGTGCCTTACAACAATACATCAATCTAATGAATGATCTACCAAATAAAATTGTCGATAACCATTTTGATAACGGTTTCAGTACAATTTGATTAAAAATTTCATTTAAAACGTCATGAAAACTTTCACAAACATCAAGAATTTTTGCAGTTTTTTTGCTTTTGAAAAACAGGTCATTTTTCAACAACAAGCTTATTTGAAATTTTTCAGTGAGCTGTATTTACTCTCTAATTAAAGTCACGAAGCCAGAAGGTGGAACAGTGCAAGTCCATGCCAGCTGAGGCTCTAGCCCATTGTCTTTGAATCATAATTACCATGAAGGGAAGACGACCATGGTGACAAATGTTTACGGTTTTATTATTGGCATCTTTACATTAATACTGCTGTTTTGTGCTGAGAAAACAATCGGTTACGCATAATGTAACTGTTATATATAACATAGAAATGCAGTCTAAGTTCATTACAACAAGGAGCTACAAAAAATTTCATAGGAAAGAAAGTCACCTAACATTGCAACTGTGCTTGCAGCAAATCACTCTCCCACTTCTGAGTCAACACTGCAGAAATATGTGTGCTGTAAACCAAGGTTATTTACATGTCCCTTAGAACTGTTAATAACAGAGGCGCTAAAATCCGTCTAAAAAGTTCTAGAATGTCACTATATACTGTACAGTCCTCAAAAATAATTTATTATACTGTTTCTAAAAAAGGTTCTAGTTTTGTTTGTGTTGTTTTCTGGAGTGCACAACATGTGCAAATTTTGGCTAACAGTCTAAAAACTCAAGAACTGAACTGCAGGTCACAATCACAGAGATGAGGTGGTAGAATCTAGGACTTCCCTTCCATTGCAGACTGTCGGAACGTACATACTAGCCGACGCTGGAAGAGAGAGGAAAAAAAACAAAACCCCATCATTAGCCACCTAGGACAAAACATTGGGGGTCTGATTCTCATTTACATTCAGGTCACTTTACGCCTCTCTGGAAGTGTAAAGGAGCCTTAAAGTGGATATGACTCTAATTTATTTGGAGTGGTATAAAGTAGCCTCAGTGTAAATAAAAATCACATCTTTGGATTTTTCATGTATCTTATTTTAGGGCCTGATTCTGTGAGGGGCTGAATGCTGTCCAACCTCACTAATTTCAACCGGCAAGAAGAGTGCTCAGCACCTTACAGGAATAGTTCATTAGCTTGCATTTCCCTCATCCACTCCATCTTTGCATCTGGTAATGCATGTCACCCTACATCTGAATGTAAGGGAAATGGGTTATTTTATATGTTGAATGGAGTAGGGAAAATCTTTTATTTTAACAATTGTATGAGTTTGCCAACACATTTACTCCCCCTTTGATAACGTTCTGGCCTGGATCCCATTGACTTCCATGAATGCAAGATCAGGACCTCAGGATGTAAAATGTGTCCAGACCTAAAGGCCAGATTATGATGCCTTTACTCACACTGAATAGTACTTTACTTGACAAGTAGTTCTATTGGCTTCAGTGGAGTTACTCTTGGAGTAAGGTGTTACTCAATGTGAATATGAGTGTCAGAATCTGGCCCTAAATGCTTCTGCATCTTGACACTGGGATAGAGTGTTATCTTGTAAAAGCCCAGGGGATTTTAATTTTAAAGGAAACAGGTTTGTCCATCCCAGTTAGAATTATCCATTCGGCATCAAGAATGTGTTATCAGAGAATTTCGTTGACATGACAGTTCACAATAAGACAAAGCTGTGTTTGGCAAGATACATTAGGTTAACAGTAACAGTGACCCAGAGAAACCTGATGCCTTTATCAAAGCATTTAAAGGAAAAGCATGCATCAAGCACTGACTTTAAACTTGATCACACAGCGTAAAAGGCAATTTATGGATGATGGATACTTAGTTTCAGACCAATTCAGTAAAGACTGAGCCTTATTTTTCATACAGATGAACTTTTTATGCAGCTACAGAAGACAGCGCTTTACTAAATGGTTATGAAATTAAATTATACGCTCTAACAAATGAAGGGAAGGATGGTCCAATGGTTAGGGTGCTAGCCTGGGGCTTGGGATACCTGGATTTAATTCCCTGTTCTGTCTCAGATCTCCTGTTACCTTAAGCAAGTCATTTAGTCTCTCTCTGCCTCAGTTCCCCATCTGTAAAATCGGAGCTAATAGCACTGCCCTACTCCACAGAGGTCTTGTGACAAGAAATGCTTGAAAGATTATGAGGTGCTCAGATACTACAATAATTGGGGGCCATATAAGTACCTAAGATAGAAAGATCTGGAGTATGACGAGAAACAAGATACCTTGCCTCTAGCACCATCTGTTGTGCATTTAGAATACATCTCTTACTCCTAAAGGAGAGGTCAAAATTAATAGTTGTTCCTAAGTTCTGTTAAAGGAAAAATTTCCGCTCTGCTGGTCTTTGTAATATCACATTAGTTTTTATAGCAGCAACCAACTGGTTTCCTACATCATCATGGAAGTAGGAACTCACTCAACACATTTTAAAGTGACCTGACATCCTGATTTGTCTGTAGTGCATGTTTTCCCATCCTCTTTCCTCATCATCTATTTGCTGTGACATTATTTGGAGTTACTGCCTTGTGTGATAGGATAGTCTGCCCCCTTAAGGTCAGCCCATCCCTGTCACATGTGTGTGTCCCTTTAAGATTTTGGAAGATCTGATATACCTACAGAGACCGAGAAAATATTGATAGAGAGGAAGAAGTGTTAGAAATAAGGGGTGCTTAGGAGGAAATCCTGTCCCTGTGTCTTTAAGAGCCTGGGACCAGGAGGGCATAGAGGGCTGGGCAAGAGCTGGGAGAAGGGGCCAACGTAAATGCTGCCTCCTCCCTCCAGGCTGGGCACACATCGGCAGGAGAAGGCTGGCCTGCTGATCTGCTGAGGGCTAATTATGGAAAAAGAGGCCAGCTGAAGGAGAACGGGCTAAGACCCTACAGCTGGCTAAATTACAAGCAAGGGTAGGGTGACCAGACAGCAAATGTGAAAAATTGGGACAGGGGATGAGGGGTAATACATAAGAAAAAGACCCCAAAATCAGGACTGTCCCTATAAAATCGGGACATCTGGTCACCCTAACCAAGGGGGAGAGCTGGGGACTCCTGTTTTGAGGTAGTGACCATCTGAAGCATGGTCCCAGCTCCAGGAGGGGGTTGAGGGTCTTCTGAACAGGAATGAGAGTTGACCGCTACTTCTATATGGACCCAGAGACGAGTGACCTCGAGTGACTAACAGAGTTACATTCTGTAGAATGACTTCAGTCAGGCCCCACAAAGGGGGTATGTGTTTTGAAACAAGCTAAGTCTGGGTAACTGATTGAGAGAACCAGAGGAGCACTGAGTGCAAGGCCAAGAAGAGCCACCAGGGGCTGAGCTGGAGGGCAGCATGCTGTGACGTCATGGCACATCAAATGTCACTGAATTGTTTCTTTGTTTGCTGCTTTCATCTGCTGTGTTCTGTGGCCCATTTTCTCCTTTATCTCCTTTACAACAGCAGAATAGATACACCTGACTTCTGTTTATGTATAGTGGGTCTGTTTATGTATAGGGACTTGGGGTCAGCTAGAAGCTAATTTGTGTAAGTCTTTTGACCTCTGGTGGGGATCTCAAAGCGTCCAGCAGACACAGAAATGAGTGTTGTGAAACGAATTACTGAAGGATGGTGTGTTAATATGTAGGCCTGCTTGTTAGTCTGATACAGAATTTGGGGTTCGATTTTTTTTTTTAAATACTCTTTTATCCTTACTAATATGTGTGAACAAAGAGACTGTGTGTTGCATTTCCCACAACCAGATGGGTTTGTTAGTATAATGAGAAAAGATCAGGGATAGAGTTAAAGTGTTACTGGGTATGGTGGGAGTGTAATATACGAGTATATACTGGAAGGCTACCTGGCTCCTCTCTCAAGCCAAGATCAAGCAACCAGTCAGGAGGGGCAAAGGGAATGCAGGGGACGGTATTAGAAACACTAAAAGCCAAAGGCCTGGCCTTGGCCAGAACAAAACCTCACTCCTTACTCCTCCCATGGGATACAAAAGACGTGCTACCAAGCCCCCAGACTCACAACCTTCCAAAATGGAACATGACCATAAGTTGTAAGTAATGGGACCTGGGCGTGCTAAAGAGGAAGAGGTGGGAATAGGCACACTGAGAAAAGGCTCTCTGGCATCAGAGCTCTGGATATGCTTGCTTGAAACCCCAATAAACATCGCATTGCCTCCACTTCAGATTTCTGGTCTTCTGCTTTCTGTCTGCAGGGGAGGGGGGAGGGGAAAACCCCTAGCAGGATGCCCAGTTGGCGCTCCATACACATAAAGAGAAAAAAGTAGCATAGAACTGGCATCCAAGAACCAGAATTAAGAAGTCAGAGCTCAACTCCCATTTGACACCTAAACCAATGACAGCAGCTGGATGCTGAGCACTAGTGAAAAATCTAGTCAATTTATTTAGGTCCCAAATAAGAGCTGAGACCTTTTGAACAACTGACCTGTAATAATCTCTTCAGTGCAGACTCCCTTCTTCAAGCCTTGGGCAAGTCTCTTAATCCCCCCTCTCACTTTTCTCATATGTAAAAAAAGGATAGGAGTACTTGTGTACCTGCTTTGATGACGTGTTAAGAAGAGAAAAGATGTTATGCAATGTAAGTGATGTATATAATTTACAAACTCCTTTATTTTTGCTGAACGGATGTACTTTTTCTTTGGAAAACAATCCAAGAACCAGTTGTCAGCAGTTAAGTCCATTTCAGCTGGTGAATTCCTGTGTTTGCTTCCTACGTACGTACGTACATACGTACGTACGTACGTGTGTGTGTGTGCACGCAAGCCTCCTTAACTTCAACACCTCTCTCTGGAGAAATGACTTTAGAAAGGCCGCTGACTGTTCTGATGAAGTGTTGGCTAAGCACTTAAAGGCTACTGGTTCTCTCCTGAGATCTTCCAAGGTTTGCAAAATCCTCATGAGGACTCCAGGAGCTATTTGGTGTGTCTCGCTGCAGTATTTCATGTTGCAAACACCATTTTAAAATAGCTGATATGTTTTCTCAACTCCTCTTTTTTTTTTCTTGGAAGGACACACCATTGGAGCAGAGGAATATCTTTCCAGGGGGATAAACAGGTGCTTAGGAGCTTGTGATGGGGTGTACTTGCCCCTCACTGGACAAGAAACCCCACACTCTGAGCAGAGGAAGCTGTGCCCCCTCACTCCTACTGGGCATGCTCCAAGTGCTGGCTCAGTATAAAAGGGAACAGCCTGGCTCATTCTAGGCTGACTACCAGAGAGGAGTAGGAGTACCAGATGGTGGGAGCTGGAGACACTGAAACCCAGGCAGATACCCAGATGCCTGGGGATGCCTTGTGGAGGCCGCAGTCGCTTGGCAGTAGCGGAACCTGAGGAAACCGGAAACCCTGAAGATGTCCAGGCCACAGTATCAGGGGGTACAGTAGGAAGAAGCCCAGGGAAACTAGGCAGTGGACCGGTTAGCGAACCGGGTTTTGAGTCAGCGTGTTTCAGTTGGATCCCAGCCAATTCAGTGGCATGCACACTTGCCACTACCAGGGCCCTGGGCTGGGATCTGGTGGAGAGGGAGGGCCCAGGTTCCTGTACCCTGGCACCTCTCTCCCTCCCCAGGAGTGGCTCACTTCCCTGACTCTGCCCATTAGGTGACATAACCCTGCTAAGGAGGGCAACCTTATTGCCTCTGACCACTAGGCCATACAGCCTGAGTGAGAGGGTGATTGCATTGGCTCTGGTCACTAGACCGCACAACCAGAATGAAGAGGTCAGCCATACTGACTGTGGCTACTAGGCCATACAGCGCAAGTGAGAGGGTGATTATATTAACTTCAGCCATTAGGCTGTACTGCCCTGATGACAAGGGTGACCACGTTGACGCTGGCCATTGGGCCATATTGCCCTGAGACTAAGGGCACACAGGTGGACTTAACCATGGAGCTGTGATGCCCTTTGCCCTGTCCCAAAGGGGGATGGGGTGTACTTGCCCTGTGACAAAGCTCTACAAGAGTGGAACCTAGGATGCAGCGGCATGAGAAGTAAACTAAAGGGTTGACTCTATTTTGGGGGACACAGGGAGAAGTGTTTGCATTCCATACATATTCCAGTCTGCAATGGAGCACTGCTCCTGTTAGGCAGCTGCTATTCCCTGATGCATAGCTTCTACCACATCCTCGTGAAAGCCAACCTCTATGCTCTCCCAAACAGTGTTTCAGCCCTCGCTGTCCCCTGGCCTCTCAGAGGAGGCCTGCGGTGGCAGGTTGCCCCAGTTCTTCCTGTCCTGAATAATGAAGAGTCCAATTCAGTCCTAATAAGGGCATCCACCTGAGAACCACTCACATGAGCTTCCCTTTTTAGGGCAAACACAGCAAACCACATCCACGGAGAGAAGGAAGACCAAATGATGGGCTGGACCAACTGAGGGGCTGGCAGGAAAATACCCATTTGGATGGACTTATGCAGTGCCTTGACCAAAAAGCAAATTATTTCACTGCATATATATATATATATTAGACACAGGGTCCTGGTTATTAGGCTCAATTTCTAGAGCAGCAAATGGATGCTTGGAGAGGTTAGGTTGCCTGTCTCTCGTCACCCAGCAAATCAGTGGCTGAGGTGGAAGCAGAACCCAGCAATTCTGGTGCCCAGTCTGTTAGTACTAGAGAGTACCTGCTTGTGAGCAAGGATTGTGGCCATCTCCTAGGTTTCCAGACGGCTGTGTTCAAAGCAAAACATGCAGCTGGACAAATAGTATTGATCAGACGTGTGTTAAGCCATTTGTGACTGATGCAAAGCACCATCAAGACTGATAGGAAAACAAGCTGTCAGCCCAGGATGGATGGGGCAATTCTTTGGATCATTTTTTAAAAGGTGTCAGGGGCTTATTGAATTTCTCTTGGTGTTCTCAAGCTTTAATGCTGCTATGGAGAGAAACATCCCAATGATGAATTGGATGTGGACTGACGCAGAATTCTAGCAGACACCGAGAAGACCATGGCACTGGCGAGGATCAATCTGGATGACAAGTGCTTGGCATTTTATGAATGAGGGCTGTGCAGTTCAAAGAAAAAGAACCTTTAAAAATAAATCTCTTCACCAAAAAAAATACTTACAGGTGAATTGCAAAATAAATGCTTGGCCATTTCAAATGTTTCTTTATGATGTGCAGAAATATCTCAATTCTATTTTTTTTGGGGGGCGACCCTAGTTTCCTGCTTGGTTTTTTTTTTTTCACATTGGAAATACCAGGTCCTCACTTTTCTCTGAGGAAACCCACCTGGGATGAGGGGTGGAGGAGCTGTACAGGTGACTTAGAACATTATGGGCCTGATGACATGCCCAATGCTGTGACTGGGGCTTTCCCCATAGAACTGAACAAGCTTTGGATCATGCCTCATGTGACATCACTTTCCAGGTCCTCCCAAGGTTTGCCAAGGTCCTTCATCAAACTAGGCAAGGGAGCACCTGATATTCCATTTTTTCCCTAAACTGGGAAAATAAACCTTCTTTTGAGGCCCTCTTTTCACATCAGAAAGGGCAAGGATGAAGTTTTTTCTCTGATGTTGCACTTTACCTTTGAGACTTAAAGATTTTTAGAATGAGTGTTCTTCATGTGGTTATAGACGGGACAAAAAACTCAGGATAACCTGTTTCACTTGAATACAGTAGCATCTTTGTATTTATACAAAGGTGTAGTAAGGAGGAGAGCATCAGATGCCCTCATGAAAACACCAGTCCCAAATACTGATTTTCTTTTATTCTGTATCCATTACAAAGAAACAGAGCATATTCCAGGGTGAAATAATTGCAGAAATGTTTCCTTAAATAGAAACAGCCTCTTAACTGTCTCAGATACAAAATATGATGTAAAAATGCAAAGACCATTTTATACATATTTGGGCCCAATTTTTAAACACCATCAGCAACAGCAGCTCTCATTTAGGCATCCTTGATAAGTGGTCAGATTTCCAAATGTACTTTGTTCACAGTGGGAGCTCTGGAAAACCTGTCCGTAGCTGTGAGTGCTGAGCGCTTTTGAAATGTTTGCCAGCCTGACCTATCGAGTTCATCTAAATTTTCCAAAGTAATTAGTGATTTTGGGGTACCTCAGTTTTTTGGGGGTGGGGCAATTGGAGACACCTTAAAGGGCCTGGTTTTCAGAGTGGATGCTCAGCTATTTTGAGTTGTGGCAAGTTGGCCATCCCAAAACTGAGGCACCTAACAACCACTAATCACTTTTGAAAATTTAGATTATATTGTAAAGCCAACTGAAAGGTTCAGAGTTAATATCCTTACACACCTTCCCTTTTTCCTCCGCAATCCCCCCTCCTGCTCTGGGATGTTGTGCTCCTTCAATCGGTTTCCCAGGTTAGACATTGTGTCTGCTTTACTCTGTGAATGAGGTGCTGTTTGCTTGCATCCTTTACTAGTTAAGCTTGACAAGGAAAAAACAAAAATAAAGCTGACCTATTTTTTCCTAGCCAAAAACAACAGCAACTGATAAAATCCCAAATATGTGAATCTGTCTGGGAATAAGAGACTGAGATGGGAAAAGCAGATGAAGTGTTCTTGCACTGCGGCATCGATTGATATCCCAGGTTGTGACACTTATGTAGGGTACAACACATACTGGATATACAGAAGCAGTTTTTGCTGTCCCTTATGTGCATTATAGGGGAATTAGCTGAAGTGGTTTGACTCAAAGAATTTTCTTGAAACCCAGGTAATAACAGCCATTGAGAATGTGCTGCATGGGGGACCAAGTCCTGCTGTAATGTTGTTCTGACAGGAAGACTCCAGAGCAATCTGCTCTGCCTGTTATGAGAGGGACAGGAACTGTGGTTCTGCAGGCACTGTGCAATTATGGGCCTGATCCAAAGCCCCCTGTATTCAGTGGAAGTCTTTTTTTTCATTGTCTCCAATGGGCTTTGGATCAGGCCAGCTGTGAGCAGAACACATGTGCTGTGAACAAGGGTTGTTTTGTTCTCACCAGACTTGAGTAATGATTTCGTGAAGGTTCATAGCCAATCCCACACTCAGGTGAATGCAAAAATGTCCTGCAGTTCTTAATGATTGCAGATTCCACTACAAGTGAAAACTCTCTAGCTCTCCTTGAACACACTTACCGCACAAGGCATGCCATACATAGGTGACGGATTCTTTACTTACACTGGGAGTAAGTGGTTCCGGTCCCACTGACACTGAACCTGTTGAGATGGAGTCTGTGAGTGACCACGTTCTTCTGTGGCTGGAAGAGGATGATGTGCACTTTGGGCGCGAACAAACAGCCCAGCACAACAAAGCCACTCAGACTGACAGAGATGCACATGGTTGTGGTCTGCACCTAGGAGAGAGTTATTGAAAAGTCAGTGCTGTTAAATGCCGGGCAGTGAGGCAGCATGTACCGCAAGTGAGAATGTGACCATGGTAGTCACTGTGGGAGCTACTTACTGCTAGCTGTTTGTTTTTAATTTCTATAGATTTCTTGGTACCAAATTCACAGCTGTTTTTTCAGAAGGTCTAGAAATGAATGTGGCTTCAGAAAGTACTAATGATATGACTGAAAGCCCTAAAAAAATCAGCTCTACCAATGCCTTCTACAATTTAGGCTATCAGACAGCACACCCCAGCATTCATGGCACAGTTTGTTACTGCATGCTGTAATGCAAATTGTTTATGTATTTCAGCATGCTAAACTCTGCTCTGAATAGCACTGAGAGGCAGAAATGCAAAATTCCAGAACAGCCATAATACAGCAGTAGGAGGAAACATATCTCAGTCTTGCATCAACAGCGATCTAGTCTGGACGATCCATTGACTTGTTCCACGTCTAACTCCCACGACCCTGTGATTCCCAGTGATTTACCTAAGGCCTAGATGGTACCCTGCTGATCAGAACATAAGGGGCTGCCTGCTTCAGTGTATGACAGCTAGCCTGGACACAAGAAGGCTAGTCAGATGCTCTGCAACACTGCATCCCTGCCGCATTCCTGGACAAAGCAGAGCACTTTCAGTAAAGCCTGGGATCTATGTGTGGCAAAAGGCATGCTGTACGGGACCAGATGAGGTCCTAAGAGATGGCTGTGCTATGCAGCGAATCCACTTGAAAGTTAATTCAGCCTAAGGCCTCAATCTTGATAAGTGACAAGCAACCCCTTGCATTCATGAAGAGGACCACTGACTTCAGTGAGATTCTGAGCAAGCATAAGGGCCGGCTCAAACAGGTCCGTTTGTGAGACTGGGTCTTAAAGCTACATTAATGTAGACACAATTTCTCTCTGCTGTGAAATCCCTTTGTGGGGGGTCAGAAGATTCTGGAGGTAGCAACCAGTGGGCCAATCAATGCTTGTCCTTACAGCTTCATGGAGCCATTATCTAATCTATGTAACAACACTCATCATTGTGATAACTGGCTGCCAGTTCGCTGCCTCAGGTTCAGTTTAGTCTCTTTTCTTCAGAGCAGATTCCTCAATTAAAAGGTAAAATGACATGTTCTCAAACTCTATTACTTAATCTGGATTATTACACAAATAGGGCCAATTCTGCCTTCAGTTACATTCATGCCAAATTTATAGATTAACACTGCTATGGGGCTCAACTCTCAAAATAAACTTTATAAGGGAAAAAGGAGAGCAGGGAATGGCCTTTGTCATTATATGCAGTGTTGTTTTTGCCACGTTGGTCCCTAGCGAGAAAAGGTTGGGGAGGGAAGCGATATCTTTTATTGAACCAACTTCTGTTGGTGAGAGAAACAAGTTTAGGAGCTTACACACAGCTCTTCTTCAGGTCCTTTCTTTGGCTGCTTTATCTCAATCCTGCTAAGGGACCCTGACCAACAGCCATTTGTATCCATGCGGAGGATCTTTCTTTCTTTCTTTCCCTTTCCTTGTCGTCGTCTTCATCATTATATGTATTCACAGAGCACCAAGCAGATGGTCTGTATAATTAATAGAATAACCCCTTACAAAAAGCGCTTACTTCAAGCTTTGCTCAGTGCATGGTACTCAGATGCCACATGGGGGTGGGGAGAACCATTTAGGAACCTGAATGGACACAGAGAGAACATAAACACCCTGCCACATTTCCATTCATTCCTCTTTCCTTGCTTTCTACTGGCCTGAGCCAAAACGCACTAAAGTCAGTGGCAAGACTTCCATTGATTTTAATGCAGTTTGGATCAGAACTTAAGTGAGAAACTACCACACACCTCTTTTCATGAGAGCACAGTAATATTGAGTAGTAGGACAATTTAACATCTGACTGTGTTAGAACTTATCTAACCCCCAGACTTTTCCCCTCTGGCACATCTCTTACAGTTGCATCCCCTAAGGCTAGGCTAAGATGAATCTTCAGCTGAAAAAAACTAAATACATTAATTGCTCTCACTGGTGCAAATTTGTGAGTGACTATTTAATAACATCAGGTCCTACTATTTCATTGATTCTGAAGTAGGACTACCCGCTGAAGTCAAAGTGGAACTTCGTAAAAATCAATGGTGTGAAATAGCCCTTTTCCCTCTAACCTAGGAAAGGGCACTTTGTTTCTTCCCATGGTATTTGTATTAATTAACTGGGTGAATTCTACATTTTATTTTATTTCATTTTCAGTTTTTAAAATGCGCCCAAATCTCTGCATACGTTTCCCAGTAGCCGCCCATATTTTCACCCTTATTCATGCATCCGAAACCAGTTTCAAATATAATAATAAAAGCTCAATCCAGTCACCATTCACTTATTCATTGTTGTTATGTCTCCTGGGTTGTTTTTTGTACCAACTTCCCAAATAATAGCTCCAGAGAGTGACCCCACCAGCATTGTTTTACAGGAGAATGGAATGAGTAGGTTACCGTTCGATTATAGATAACAAAAGCATCACTTATTATGTATAAAATTTTAGTCCATTTAGTAGGATCAGTGGCTGGAATTTAAGTGAGATTAACAGTGTTCAGACACCCAGAGTGGGAGCTGCCAAAGCACCTACATGAGAGTTCCATTCACTTCAGTCCTTCCTTTCCTGAAATTAAGTCAATGAGACGTGCGCTCCTGACTAACTTCAGGTGCTTTAGGAAATCCCACTGCCAAAACCTAGTTCAATTCAATGGAGGTTTTGCACCCAAATCCCCAGGATTTCTTTCAAATCTCAGCAATAGATAACAGAGTTGGAAAATATCACTTAAGTCATCTAGTTTTATCCCAATCACGCTATAGGACTAGTCTTTCTAGCATACCCACTAATGCCTCATTATATCTGTCCCCACCCATTGAACACTGTGTCCACCTCACTACCCAATTACTTTTAGTGTTAAGAACTTTTCCCCAGTGCCTATCTTTTCCTTCATTGGCTGCATGCCATTTCTCCTTGTCCTAACTTCTTGTGAGACTAAATAATCCCTTTCTTGTTACCTTGAAGTTATTTATAGACTAATCATGTCTCCCTGGGTTCTCTTGTCTAGACTAGACACATTTAGCTCTCTTCGTTTCACTCTGTGTGACTTTTGTTATCCATCCTTGTACTGTCTCTAGTCTTTCTGTACCTTTCCTAGGCTAAGGAAACTGGAACTACACATAATATTCTTGGTCTGGCCCCATCAAGCCTGAGTAGAGTGCAGACAGTTGAAAATTTTTTGACTACACTTCCTATTGAAAAATGCTGTTTTGTCAAAAACAAAATGTTTTGTGGAAACATGTTGTTTTTGATGGGAAGGTTATACAGGTCCAGGAGGGACTCTCTAGAGAGAGATAGAGGACCCAACCCCAGAATAGCTAATAGCCTAGTGGTTAGAATACTCACATAGGATTATGGGAGACCCAGATTTAAGCCTCTGATTCGGAATAGCGACTTGAACTGGGGTCATCCACATTCTTGACGACTACTCTAACCACCAGGCTATTGGCTTTTAGGGGGTGTGTCTCTCTCTTTTTTTAGGGGGTGTGTCTCTCTCTAAAAAGTTCAAAAGGTCTACTTTTCATTCATTTCATTCATTGGAATGAAACCACGTTTTGAAATGAAACAATTGTTCCTTGGCCAACCCTAATATAGAACGATGCTATTAACTCCCCTATTATCTCCCTGACATATACCACCAATTAGATCTGGACAAAAAATGTTGGTGAAATAGCTTGTTTGCCAAAAAATGCAGTTTCAGGGCAACCAAAACTATGAGTGAATGCACATCGAATCTGGCAAATAGTTTTGGCCAAATAAATGTGAAAAAGTTCATATTAACTATTTCAACTATTTTTGAAACAAAATGTTTTGACTTTTCATTTCCAGTGACATTTTGTTTAGAATTGCTGCTAGATTTGTTTTGTTTTTTTAAAAAAACTTAAAGGATAACAAACACCTGAAAATATAAGAAAACTGAAAAAAATATCATTTAGAGTCCAACAAAATGTTTTGTTTAACCTGAAATTCTTTTTCTGGATATTTTGGATCAGCCACTGAATAAAAAAAAAAAAACAACAACATTTGTTCAACTCGACTGCCAATGACAGTCTTGTCTTTTAGTCAAGAACATAAGAACAGCCATATTGGGTCAGACCAAAGGTTCATCTAGCCCAGTATTCTGTCTTTTAACAGGTTTCAGAGGAACAGCCGTGTTAGTCTGTATTCGCAAAAAGAAAAGGAGTACTTGTGGCACCTTAGAGACTAACCAATTTATTTGAGCATGAGCTTTCGTGAGCTACAGCTCACTTCATCAGATGTATACATCTGTATACATCAGATACATCTGATGAAGTGAGCTGTAGCTCACGAAAGCTCATGCTCAAATAAATTGGTTAGTCTCTAAGGTGCCACAAGTACTCCTTTTCTTTTTGTCTTTTAACAGTGGCCAATGCCATGTGCTTCAGAGGGAATGAACAGAACAGGTAATCATCAAGTGATCCATCCCCGGTCACCCATTTCCAGCTTCTGGCAAACAGAAGCTAGGGACACCAACCCTGCCTTATCCTCCATGAATTTATTTAGTTCTTTTTTGAACCCTGTTATAGTCTTGACCTTCACAACATCCTCTGGCAAAGTTAATTTTATAAAATTGACAGAAAGGTGAATGAATACAGTGAAACTTGGTGTAAGGACCATGTACCACAGCTACCTCCCTCATTTTAGTAATCCTGAGGTTTACTGTACAGTTTGGTTAAGCTTTTAGTTAAAATTCACCTTTATTAGATAACTGTTTTCTGAACCCTTGGTCTGACCTATTGTAACTGTGACTATCCGTAGTAATATACCAGTGCGTGAATATTTCACCCATGTGCTTCTGCCTCCATCAGCCAGACCTACTGTTTAGTGTAAAAACATTCTCTGAACAACCATAGTTCAAAGCAAGTCCATCATCTGCTTTGAAGTAAAGTAACATTTTCATATAAAGCAATCAGCTGATGTGTCTTATGCTTAGCAGGGCATTAACAATGAAAAGGGAATGTATGCCAGGGGCACTGGAGAGCAGAAAAGTGAAAGATGTTTTTAGGAAAATGCCAGGTTCCTGCTAAGTTGATGCACGCAGTTTATAGAAACAAATGTCCAAAGACTTACTCTGTAGTCACTAGATGTCACATAAAATATGGGGAGGAAGGCCAGCCAAATGATGCACGTTGTGTACATTGTGAAACCGATAAACTTGGCTTCGTTGAAGTTCTCTGGGCACTTCCTTGTTTTGAAGGCATATATAGTGCATAAGACTACAAGGATTACATCGTATGTTAAGGAGATTAACATACTCGAATCTTTGACATTGCATTTCAATATGACAGTCTCCCTTTTCTCAGGAAGAGTATACCGTCTGGTGCCCGGGGACTCCACTATGAGCCACACACACACCACCACGATCTGTACCAGGATGAGGCTCAGGCAGATGAAGACCTGAGAGCTGGGGCTGATGAATTTAGGCCGTTGAGCACCATTCTTCACACCGTTAAATATTCTGGCTATGCAGTTTGTCTTTGTCAGGAGGGCGGCATAGCAAACTGAAAAGGAACTTCCCAGCCCCAGACGGCGTAAGGTGCAGATGGCCGGAGAAGGCTTGGCTATGAAGAAGAATGTCATGCTATAAGACAGGAAGACCCCGAAGAGTAATATGTAACACAGTTCACGGCCGGAAGCTTTGACCAGGGGAGTGTTGTTGTGCTTGATAAAGACTGCCACGACCATGAAGGTACAAATAAAACCCAGACATGCAATAGTAACGGGGCCTATTGCCCAGGCATCTTCCCACTTGACATAGTCTTCTGGTAGGTCATAGCAGCCAGTCAGGTCAGCAGTGGGCCACTGCCCAGGCCCGCAGTCTGCACAGGTAAATTCATCAGCCAAGTATTCAAAGGGCTCACAGGCAATGCAGATCCAACAGCAGACATCTCCTGGCTGCATGTTCTTCATTTCATTAGGAGCGCAGGGGTCGCTACACTGGGAAGTGGGGACAGAGCTTCTGGACCAGTGAATTGAGTCTATGTCCAGTGACAAGATTTCTGCCCAGTGACCAACCTTCAGGTAGGAATATCTGCCTCCGGCGTACTGGAAATTGAACACGTTGTATCGGCCTAGCCCATCTCCATAGGTGTCAAATTTGACCACGCTGTCCGCAGCATTGGGAGGGTTAAATGGAGCTGTCAAAAACAGAAAGAGAGGAAATGAACAGAGAGACTCTAAGCATTTTTCTTTCTTTTGGCAGGCATGTCTATCTAGCAAGACACTGTCAGTTTTTTAGACCATCTAGAGCGAGTGAGGTATTTTGATCCCAAACATCAATTATGAAATTTTCTTATTGGTAGAAGCACCTGTTCAAGGAACAGCTGTGTTATGAATGACCAAAAGATCAAGGTCAGGTCTGAGACTTTACTGCAACTCTAAGGGAAGCAAGGTTTCCAATAGCTAAGAGCATGCATTTGAAATCCTAATGGTCTAAATATTGTTTTTCAAATTTGGTCTTGCTGTGGAGGTCACCTGTGAAAAGATTTCTCTATTACAAAGTGGCATCCCATGCTAAAGCTATGCACATGGGCCAAATTTCAAAATTATACATGTCCCAACTATATGGAATGCACTGCAGAGCACTTCATATGAGATAAATCCTTTCAAGGGTCTCCTCCTTTTCGAATACCTTCATTTCCCACTGTTTTCGTTTCAAAATATTTCATTCTACAGACTATCAAGAACATCTCCGCAGATCATTGGTAGCATGTGGACTAAGCCACTGGACTAGGAGCAGTTCACCTCTGACCACTCTTTCAAATGCACATTCTAAATATATACAGAGTCAGCCTGGAGCCCTCCCCACACTGTGAAGGATGGAAAAATGTAGCATTTATCATCTGTAAGGCCCTTTCCCCCAGATTTACAAAGACATCTCCTATTTGACCTATGTGCTAGATATTAATGAGCTCTACAAAGGCTATCAAAATGTACAATGGCTCAAATCCTCAGCTGGTGTAAAACTGGCATAGCTCTGTGAAGCTATGGAGCTATGGCTGAAGATCTGGTTCAATACTTTTTTTAAGTTTGCTAGGCTCCTATTAACTTACAAGAATGAACTCATTTGACAAAGCTCATATTTAACTTTGCACTGAATATGCTATTCCTTGGATGGACAAACTAGAGATTGTATCCTGCTACTTCCCTATTTAAAAATATGCATTTCACTGATCTACATATTTTCTGAATTTTTCCTCTTGGACCCAGCTGAATTAAAAAATACATTGAACATGGACAGCAACTGCTTGGATATCACACATTCTACATCCTCCGTTGTTACTGGTGCAAATGTTTCAGAGGTAAGTCATGCTCCTAGCTGGTTTTTCCGAAGGTGGGTTTCTAGTAACCTTAGAGGTAAAGCATAATAGCCTCCACCTTTATCCCCTATTCAATTGCATGCTGATACCTTCCCTCCCACCACAAGGGTATTGTCCCACATTCGTTGCATGAAGATACAAGAGGAGAGCTCCCTTGTAGCCTGTGACTATAAGCAGACCATCAAATAGCATGAGAAATTTTAGCACCTGGAAAGGAAGTTGCTAGACTAATGCATGCTACTTTAAATCCTGCATATGCCTGGAAAAGTTATAATGTCAGGAGAAAGGAGGAAGAAGGGGAAGGGAACTTTCCCCAAACCATTCAAACCCCTCCGATATCCCCATTGTATATGCAATCCTGAACCTTTGCATTGTCTCTTGTCGTTCAGGAAAGGGGATCATTGTTGGCAAGAGCTCAGTGTTATTCAATGGAATTCACCCTGCAGGTTAGAAGGCATTTTAAAGGATCCTCTTGGTAAGAAGCAGTTTGGATCTTGACAGTGTAAAATGAAGCCAAAGAGAGGATTTCTTTGGAACGATCTGATTGAGAGGATGATATTGAAGTAATTATAAATTCCATAACAATTTCCTGACATGCTTTTGTATCTTATTATTATTGCATCCTAAACAGTTAGGAATCTATCATACTTTGCTTGACTATATTGATTTTGTTACAGCTCTTTGTTAAGCTGCCTGGCATGCGCTGCTGTGGTCCAAGGCCGCGCTTGGGGAATGGATAAAAAACTCATGAACTGGAACTGTGACCTTCTGTGGGGAATCAATATTGTAGCACTTCGGACTGTTAAAGCTCTGGAGCGTTTTGGTTTTTTCCACAAGCTGCGGTTCGCAAAGGGAATGAAGAATTATTAAAAATGTAAGAGGAAATGGCAATTACAAGGTGATTTATTGTACCTCTCTCGCTGCAGCACAAAAGGTGAACAGCATCATTGGCAGGAAGTGAAAGTGTATTTACTGCGGGTGGGCAATAAAAGATTTCTCTGCTGGTGTGTCTGGTGATGGAAGTGGTTCCCCTGCCCTTGCTAGAATAAATCTCCCCTTTCCTTCCCTCCCCCCCTCATCTCACATTGCAGTTGGTTAATAGCTTTTATTCTGTCAAACTCTTATTTACATAGGCAAAGCCCTTTAGTTAAGGATGTAATTTCCCCCTCCAGTTTACAATCCATTTCCTTTGGATTTCTTGGGGTAGATGGATTGTATTTTTTAAAAGCATTCACGGCCAAATTCTGTCTCCCTTAGCTGACGGCTACCTCTTGGCTGATACCCTAGGGACTAAAGATACCTCCAGAGCTAAAAGCATGAGCTAAAGCCTTGTGGCTGTGCGGTGGCCCTGAGGGGCAGGGGGAACTTTCAAACACACAAATCTATCTAAGTCCGCAGCTCCTCCCATTGGTTTCACAGGATGGACCATGACATTAGGCAAATCTCAGAGCAAAGAAGTGGTGCATAAGCTGCACCTGCCTAGGAGCAGTCCTAGAAGGCATTGACACACAGGTACTCTCTTCCCTTACTTGCACTGAGGAGGGGTAGGGAAATAGTAATTTACTGCTGAGTTACGCCAGCTGCAAATTAGTCAGCTGTGCTGGGGGTTAGAGCCGACGCTTCACCCATTGCTGTCTCGTCCCAGCCCACTTCCCACCCATCTGCTTCAGCATGTAGCTCAGCTTTCGCTTGTGAGGCTACTCTCCAGGCCTGGGTAGTCTGGGTAGCAGTGGTGTAAGGGGAATACTTATTCCCCCCGTGTGGGTGGCACAATCTAGCCCAATGAGACTCCTGGCAGAGCAAAGCACTCCCCTGCATGACTAAAGGCAGCAGATACTTCCCTGGAACAGCCAGGCCTCCCTGAAATGACAATCTCCATGAAACAAGTAGCAAACTCCCAATACAGGACAACGAGAGGGAAGATTAAATCAGTTCCTCTCCCCGCTCCCTCAGCCAGAAGCACCGTTAATATAAAATCATAATGCAGCACTTAACAGCGCTTCAGCAACGTGCTGTCATTGCCACTGTCTTATTTCATTATTCGTAGCACGTATGGAGATGGTGGAAACTCGGTTAGCACCCGCTTAATTTTGACAGTTTATTCACTGGGCAGCAGTGGGTCAAATCCTGTGAGGTGCTGAGCTACTGGAACTAGAGATGCGCAGCTAGTCTCAGAATCAGGGGCTGGAACCGGCCAAGCACTTAGTGGTGTGCTCAACTCCAAGCATGCGGCTTCATGGGGCTGCACGTGTGCTTATGGTTAGGTACGTGCTCAAGTGCTTGGCTGATTGAGGGCCAGAGTTCTTGGCATCCTGCAGTAGTAAACCCCAGCACTGCAACCTGGTTAACAAAGGTGATCATCAATATTAAAAATAGTACCTTTTATATATGTATATAAATATTGGCATTCAGGCATGGCCTTAGACAACCTTGCACACTGGTTGCAGAGAGCTACAGAAAGTAAGACCCCCATTCTATGTGTAAGGGGACTGTTGCCCCCTTACTAACATTCAGTGGGGGTGTTCTAGTTGCTAGCTCCCAGTACTAAAAGGGGGAAGGGTCAATGGGGAATCAGGACCCTGAGACTGCCAGTCCCTAGGAGCAATGGGAAGAGGCCAATGCTCCAGGTCTGAATGACAGGGCGGGCAGGCTAATCAGGGAATCAGAAGGCCAGGGACTCTGTCCCTCTGTCCTCTGTGTGAGCTGGATTTGCCTGGGTCAGACAGAGTGGGACCAAGCTAAGGAGATAGCAGGGGCCCAAGCTGAGCTGGGGAGCAGAGCTGTGCCAGATCCAGAGGGACCAGAAAAGCAGCCCAGAGAGAGCAGACCCTGTGCTGGGAGCAGAGCTGCAGCAACCAGACCCAGAGGGGCCAGAAAAGCAGCCCACGAAGCAGGTCAGTGCTGGGAGCAGAGTCACAGAAGCAGCCTGCAGAGCAGACCTGTCCTGGGAGGAGAGCTGCAGCAACCAGAGCCAGAGGGGCCAGAGAAGCAGCCCAGGGAGCTGGAGGCAGGGCAGCAGCCGTGCTGAGGCAGAGTGGAGCTGGGGCTGGAGCAGTCCAGAGCCGGGTGTCATAAGCAGCTGGGGAGAGCGAGTGGGGACCCTGGGTAGTGGGCCCAGCACAGGGAGATGCCTCAGCCAGGAGGCTCTGCAGGCCAGACTCGGAGGGGGATTGGTAACCCCGACAGGGAGGGGGCAACCCTGGGAAGAAGGGCCCTGCCACCTAGAGCCTGAGAGCGTGTGGCCACCACCAGAGTGAGTGTCCAACCCACAGCATCCCTATAGCACAGCCAGGGCCTGAGAAGAAGGCCTGGGACTTACAAGGAAGAGACTGAACTGCCCTGACATTCCAGAGACACTGTTTGTGATGTTCCCTGCCACAGAGCAGGGTGATGTGTTTCCTTTAACCTTTCCCATTTTTCCTTATTCTTTTTAAAATTAATTGTTGATTAAATAACTTGCATTTGCTTTAAATTGTATGTAATGATCAGTGGGTCAGAGAAGTGGCCAGTGCAGAGAGAGTACCCTGGAGTGGGGACACCCTAGCTCCTGTCTTAGGTGACCACAGCAGGGTTGGGGGTCAAGCCCCCAGGAATCCTGGGCCCAGCCTTGTTGGGGTTACGAGGACTTTGCCAGACAGGAGCGTGGAATGGGAGTCCTCAAGGACAGGGAGTCCTCTGGGTAAAAGAAGTGGGAGTGAGGACTCGGATCCTTTTGCTAGCCCACTTCACCGGGGTAGTGCAGAAGCTAGGAAAGTTCCCCACAATAGCGGGACTTACATATGCACAGTTACACATGTGCTTAACTTTAAGCATTCAAG